CCTCCGCAGAATAAAAGAAGTTGTATATCCATAATAATTGTCATTATTCTTCATCAACTCAACATCTAAAATGCCCGTCAAAGAAACAATTCAATTGGTTGGTGTGATTAAGTTGGTTAAGACAATTCGAACCCAGTCATGTCATAAAATATGTAATTCCTTAAGTCACATCACAAAATGAACGTTTCCGTTATTTCACGATATGACTATTGCATACGTGCAAATTGCATGTCAAAGGAAAGTCTACATCTCTATTAGATATTCTCTAAACGTCAAGTCATACACCGCCATTAGTGGGCAAGAACATTACTGAAAACCATTTAATACTATCCAGAAAATAAGATGGTGACTGAGCTCCCGTTCGATCATGCGCAGACAGCACTGAATTGTGGGTAATATCGCTTTCTCGCTCTATCGCTTTCTCGCGCAATGATATCGCTTTCTCGTCTCGTGCTATCGCTTTCTCGTCTCGTGTTATCGCTTTCTCGTCTCGTGCTATCGCTTTCTCGTCTCGCGTTATCGCTTTCTCGTCTCGTGCTATCGCTTTCTCGTCTCGTGTTATTGCTTTCTCGTCTCGTGATATCGCTTTCTCGCTTTCTCGCCTCCGAATTTTAAGGCGAGAAAGCGATGGCCCTAATCAGCCACCATACGATGGCATGTGTAAACCAGGTCAGCGAGCCTGACCACCAAATCCCGATAGTCGTCTCTTGCGACAAACATGGGTTGCTTAAGACCAATCCTAATCCGGATCTTCACGGGTAGCTTTGGAATCCAGAACAGAAGAGGAATGGATGTCTTCAGGTATGAGAGTTTATAGTAGCAGGATATTCCCGGGTAGCTTTGTGTGAAGCCCATTTCTGGTGTCCCTGCCGTGATATTGCTGGGATAGTGCTAAAAGCGGCGTAAAACTAAACTCACTCACTCACCAGTAGCTTTAGAATCCAGTACTGAGGAATAGATATGTGTTCAGGTTTTAGAGTTGACTGTTCGACCATGTGACAGAAACATAAAACGTCATCAGAATGTCTCACCATAAACCTTCCTACCCCAAGCCCCTTTCCTCAGAAATTAGCAATTCAAAAGTTGACACACAACGTCGCATCAGTAACAAAATGATTTTCGATGTAATTTCCCATTTTGACTTGTCTACATTTGTCACCGTTTCACCGATGAAACTGACTTGTCTTTGAATGTGTTTGCATCGGGTCAAAGCGGTACCGATGTGACCATCTTTTCGGTACGACCAGGTATGATGGCTGTTTGACATTGATTCAGAAGCATCTGCTGATGCTGTTGATGGAGATGTAAACGGATTGTGGATATTTTTCATGATTACGGATGAAGCGTTTTTGTATTAAATTTAAAGTCGCACTTCCCACGTTCAACTTGACAATTCACGAAAACAAATTAAAGCGACGTTGTTTCGCCCCAGGACACAGTCACGCATGACAAAACCGGACGTCACGCCTCGGATCAGGGCGTACCAATATCTTACTTCTTTAACCACGATTTCTTCTATATTTGCACCCATATTTACGGATAAAACACTGGACGTTGATTGGATTGTTTGACGGTGTGGCATGTTGTGATTGGTCCGTATTTTGTTGCATTGGTATATATAGTTGTTAAATCAGTTCCTTGAGACCACATTTCAAATGTAAAGTTTTGCGAACACATTTGAAGTTCATCGGTTCTGAGTTTAACTGCACCGCATCTGGTAAAGGTAAGACTGTTTCTTTGGCATTTTATAAATTGGTTAAGTAACAGCAAAGACAAGATACGTTGTTTAATAGGGATCTACGCAATTGGGATACGATGACATGTGATGATGTCGACATTTTTAGGTCTGATTTTGTGTTGGATGTACAGTATAGTTGACTCACCTGTGGCCAAGTACTGTATGTGTTCTTTTAGGCTGACATTTGTAGGGCGGGACGTTTTTTATATAGAGGTGTTGCTGAAGTCACAAATGGTTTTGTAGACAAAAACCTAGGATCCTGTTGTTTTTAAGTGGTTCAGCCACTGGTTTTCAGTAGGGCTTTAAAAGGCGTACAGCTCAAATTACAGGTGTATTGAAAACCTGACTAAAACTTTCACTCTAGAGTGAAATAATCGTCTGGTCAGATCACCACCCTCTCAGGATCGAAACACCCCCTTCATGTAATATGCGAAATATACAATCTATTTTGAAATCACGTAGCTCAAAAGAGTGAGTGAGCGAGTTTAGTTTTACGCCACACTCAGTAATATTCCAGCTATATGGCGGCGGTCTGTAAATAATCGAGTCTGGACCAGACAGTCCAGTGATCAACAGCATGAGCATCGACCTGCGCAATTGGGAACCGATGACATGTGTCAACTAAGCCAGCGAGCCTAGGACAAGCATGGGTTACTGAAGGTTCATTCTAACCCGGATCTTCACGGGTCTAACTCAAAAGGGGAAACAAAGGCACAATTATCGACAAGGGTTTAACCATTGTATGGTTTCTTGGGTATATGTTTGGAGTGGTATTCACATGCTAACGAATAATATTTTTCTCAGATGCAATCCACTGGGGTTTTTTTAGTTTTGATTTTCAAAATAATCGCGCAAGAGGTGTACAGTTCAAGTGGTTGTCAATGCCGGTGTGGCTGGATTGAATACCTTCCCAAATTTTCACTCTAAAGTGATCCTTTCCTGGGATGGAATCACACTACAGTGATCGACTCCTAGTTAGAACTGACACAATCCAGAGTGAAAACAATCCTATGGTCAGATCACTCTCATCTCAGGAAAGACACCTACCATTGTGTGGTTAGTGTATGAGTGAGTGAGTGAGTGGTATTCGCATGCCGACGAATAAAATTTCCCTCATACGAAATACACTGTTTTTAAGTTTAATTTGGAAGTAATCGTGCATAACCTTTGCAATCTCCAAGAAGAAAGGATAACACGGGTTTTGATAATCAATATATTTTTCGATGTGATTTATTTATCACTTATAATGATTTTATCCTCGGGAGCGACCTAACCCTCTTAACGGCTGACTGTTTCAGGATACCCTTGCATTGTTTTCGTAAATTCCTTACCCGTGAAGGTCCGGGTTAGAATGAACCTTCAGTAACCCATGCTTGTCGTTAGAGGCGACGAACGGGATCGGGTGGTCAGGCTCGCTGGCTTATTTGACACTAGTGTTGGGAATTGGTTAAAATCAAATAACTGATGATTGGTCCATTACAACCGATCAATCATCGAAAATAATTGGTTAGCGTCATTTATCAAATGTCCCTGTTATTTGTGTTAATGCACACAAAAATAAAGAAAAACGTAGTAATTTGGTGTTTTTTTCCAAATTGCCTAAAGTCCTTTCGCATATTTAAATGGACGATTAGTATGTTTGGAACACATATTTCCTGGATTCTTTAAGATAAATTCAATCATGACTTGGAACGAGCTTGTACATGTAGTGCTTATGAAATGTAAATTTAATGACACAGACAAAACCAGCCTTGTGAAAAATATTGTTGATGCAAACAAGTGTTCAAAGATTGGTCGTGTTCGATTATAAGAAAACATGTTCGATTGCTTGGTCGTTTAGTCACTGCGACCAATCTTCGATTATTTCAATTAATCGGACCACCACTAGTTGACACATGTCATCAGTTCCTAATTGCGAAGATCTATGCTGATGCTGTTGATTACTGGATTGTCTGGTCCAGACTCGATTATTTACAGATCGCTGCCATATAGCTGGAATATTGCTGAGAGCGGCGTAAAACTAAACTCCCTCACTCGTTAATTCCTAATGGATGTTGATAAGTCTGTACTGTACTGTACTGAATTGCGCTACTCGTGTTTGACAGGGCATATCGGCCTATACCAAAACCTCGCGTCATCATCGAATAAAAATATTGTCATCCATAAAAGTATCTTCCTTTAAGGGGGCGGTGGGGTAGCCTAGTGGTTAAAGCGTTTGCTCGTCACGCCGAAGACCCGGGTTCGATTCCCCAGACGGGTACTTTGTGTGAAGCCCATTTCTGGTGTCCCCCGCCATGATATTTGCTGGAAAATTGCTAAAAGCGGCGTAAAACTAAACTCACTCACTGATGATGATAGTGTTTTTGAATCCCTTTTTCATCCAGATTATGTTTCTCTGTTTGCCAGCACCATGCCTGTGGGGTTCACGTCTTCAGCGAAAAGCCTTTAAGAGTGTGAACGATGTGGTTTTGTGCCGCTTTGAAATTCAAGAAATATATACAACGGGGACATAAACGCGTCGCTGTATAAACGTTTCAAATCAGTCCCGCCTTCAAAATGAGGAACACTGTTTAACACAATATCACACATTTTCGACAATATTTTAGTCTACATTATACATATTGGGGCATGTGCACTCACTTAGCTTCCTAATGATGCAATAAAAGACTTATTATACCTAACGACTTGCCTGAAACCGATAACTGAAACTTCGAGGCGAACAGCTTCCAAACAGAGAACACTTGTCATATATGGAATATAAACAATTGATCCGTACATTCGTAGGGATAATAAGTCTTTTTATTGTATCAATAGGAAGCTCAAGTGAGTGCATATGCCCCAATATATATATTATAGACCAAACTATTGTCGAAAAGCGTCACATTGTGCCTTCATAATCAGAGCCGTCTCCCACCGCTGAATTGTTTGGAGTTTGAGAAACATATACATTTTTATCAGGCAGGCACATCTTAGATTTCATCATTGGTTCGCTTCATAATGCTTTAATATTTAACTGAATAACACATCGGTTTACATGTGTTTTTTGTGTGCATTTTTCCCAGATGGAGAAAGGATTCTGGTTTTGGCTGCTCGTCATGGTGGGTGTCCACTCTGTTGGAAGTAAGTAAAGCCACACACACACACACACACACCCGTTATTCCGGACCTTGATAATCAGGACACCAGTAACCTATGAAATACTGTTACATGCTGATGAAATATTTAGTGTTCAAAATATACCATATACCAAAATCCACCCTTTCCTCCTACGTGTAGCTGTGATTCTCTGATTTAATTGAAGCATCGTTTGTACCAGCGTTAAACCAAACGCAGGCATGTATTCATTATATTTCTGACACCAGGTATGACGACGGCACAAACAACAACTCCCCGTCCTGACACCAACGTCACGTGTGAGGCGAACGTCGATGAAAACGGTGGGTACACTTCGTTACAGAGACTATCTACTGGTGCTGTGACGATGTATCGAACTATCGATTGATTGCAATTGCTGAGTCTCCGATAGCAATTAATTGCCAATGGTAGAAACGAAAAACTATTGATCATCGATAGTATGTGTGACTATCGATAGTTTTAGTAACTGACTTTCGTTGATAAATGCGCAGCGCAAAATACAGGAAGTACAAGATTCGTTCACTTTGATTTAGAGTTATCCGCCCTTAAACAAACATGGCGGCAAACACGGCATGCGACTTGGAGCTTGCAATTGTGAATAACAATAAGCAAAGACGAAGATACGTCTTTGCAATAAGTTAATGTTTTAACTGTTTACTTGATCTGGGTTTCAAATTTCTTGTCAGTTGTTAAAAGAGACAGAAACTAAATTTACTTCAACTTGTTTTTATTTCATACAAACTATACATTCATTTGGGAAATAACTTCAAATGAAACAATTCAAGAAGAAATAATCTATTGCAATAGTATGTTGCAACAGACTATCGCTATCGCAGTAGTTGTTTCCCTCTCAACCGTTACCCCTTCTATCTACGTCATTACGTCTGCACATACATGTATCTGACTAATTTTGTAGCAGTGAATTTGTTTGTTTGTTTGCTTGGGGTATTTTTACGCCTCACTCAGCAATATTTACAACTGTGTCTGTAAATAATCCAGTCTGGACTAGGCAATCCAGTGATCAACACCATGAGCATCGATCTACGCAATTGGGACATGATGACGTGTGTCAACCAGGTCAGGGAGCCTGACGGCCCGATCACGTTAGTCGGCTCTTACGACAAGCATGGTGCTAAAGAGCATTTCTAAGCCTTATCTTCACGGGAAGTAATGAGATACACCTTTGGCAGTGAATTATCAAAAATAATATCAGTTGCCTAAAACTGAAACAGAAGTATTTTGACGTACTCCTCAGGAATAGTCTCTTGCCAAAACATAATAATAAAGACAGATTTTGAAAGACGAATGCAGCAAAGAGGGTTCAGGGGATCATGGCGCAATAATAAAATTGGTGTAGTGAGTGAATATATATTATTACGCTTTTTAAAATGGGCTTCACACATCGTACTCATGCCGGTATCTACCCGTGAAGGTCCGGGTAAAACTAAACTCACTCACTCACTCATGCCGGTATCGTCAGCAAACCATGTGTGTCGTAACAGGCGACTAACTTGGTTGATACATGTCATCGTATTCCAGTTGTGTAGATCGATGCTCATGCTGTTGATCACTGGATCGTTTGGCCCAGATTCGATTATTTACAGACCGCCGCCATATAGCTGCAATGTTGCTGAGTGCGGCGTACACAACAAACTAACCAACCAACCAACGCTTGTTTCAGGCAACGAGGTCGAGTACTCCGTCAAGTGTGTGACGGTAAAGGAGGATGTACGCGATGCTGTGGTCGTCATTACAAGGACGACAACCAAAGGCGTCGCCCGCCTCGACTACAGCGTTAACCCCAAAAGGGCCGCGAATTTCCCCACAATACAGAAACTGAAGGGTCGCGTGTTCTTTAAAGATGGCGAGATGACGGCGACCATTAAAGTACCAGTCAAAAACAACAACGTAAGTGGAGAATACTTGTTAGAGATTTTTTATTTATTCGATAATGACACATTTTATTGATAACAACTTTTATTGATAACTTTTATTTCGTGATTATGACGTTCCGATACATGTTCTTGTATCGTTGTCAAGCAGGAATTCTAAATCGGAACGTCGCACTCACGAACCAGACGTTGTCAGTAATAACGTTAGTCAGTGCTGTACTTCCGAACTGATAAAACGCTACCCAATTAATATAGTTATCCGATGTAAAGGATACTGATACAAACGTTAACCCGAAGACCTGGGTTCGATTTCCCACGTGGGTACACCTTTTCTGTGTCCCCCACAGTGATATTGCTGGAACATTGCTAATAAAAGAGTAAAAACCTAATTCACTCATACTACATTTTAACGTACGTGAATTGACGACGTAAACGTATGTATTGTAGGGACGATGGGGTAGCCCAATGGTTAAAGCTTACGCTTGCCACGCCGAAGACCGGGTTCGATTCCCAATATGAGCACAATGTTAAATGCCCATTTCTGGTGTCCCCCGTCGTGACATTGATGGTATATGGCGGCGTTAAACTAATCTGACTTGCTATGTTTTGCAGATGAAGGCACGGGTTGATGAGGTTCACATTGTTGAAATCAGCAAGCCGACAACAGGAAAGGTAAAGAAGGGGAAGGCTGAGATTGTCGTGCTGGATGATGACTGAGCTTTCATCCAATAAATCAATGCCACTTTGTTGTCGTTCTCTTTTGTTTGTTCGTTGTCTAACGCCGTCCTCAGCACTATTCCAGCTAAATGGCGGCGGTCTGTAAATATTTGAGTCTGGACCAGACAAATCAGTGATCAACGGCATGAGCATCGATCTATGCATTTGGAAATCAACTTATACATAGTGGTGCTCTGAACAACATTGGTAATCGGCCTGGGTTGAATACCCATATCAAATATGATCTTGGCTCTCATGCTTCAACTAGCACACGACACAAACATGGAGAGCAGCGTGTACTGCTGTAACGATGCATCGAACTATCGATGGATTGTAACTGTTGAGTCTCCTATAGCAATTAATCGATGGTAGAAACGAAAAACTATCGATGCATCGAGTGTGACTATCGACAATTTGGTAATTGACTTCCGTTGATAAATGCGCAGCGCAAAATATACAGGAAGTACAAGATTCGTTCATTTTGATTTAGAGTTATCCGCCCCTGCTACCTCTTAAACAAACATGGCGGCAAACACGATATGCTACTCGGAGTTCGAAATTGTGAATAACTATATGTTTTTAGTTTAACTGTTTACTTGATCTTGGTTTGAAGTTTCTTGTCAGTTATTAAGAGACTGACACTACTGCATTTTCATACAAACTATACAGTGATTTTGGGAAATGACTCCAAATGAGACAATTTAAGGAGAAAAGACTTTTGCAATAGACTACCGCTATCAGAATAGTTTGTTGCAATAGACTTCGCTATCGCAATAGTCGTCTCCCCCTCAATAGTCACCCCTAGCAGCGTGTACATACTTGGGCGGAAGCACATGGCCCGATGATTTCCCATCATGCACTGCGTTAAATAGGGAGCAGCCATTTACATTCCGTAGTTAAGGGAGCATTACGTGAACTGTCAATAACATTACACTACACTTCTCCCATCCAGATTTGTTTTCTCCATAAAACAAAATCTTAACAATACTGGAGATTAATAATTATTTTTAAAACAATAATTAGCCTTATCATGATATTATCGTGAAGCAGTAATTCTTATAATGGAAACTATGGACTTAATTATGTAGCCAAGATGATTTTACACTGTTACTTTACAGATGCAATTACATCATTAATGATAACATCTGATGACTGGAACTTGAACAATTACTTAAGCATAACAGTTAAACAAAACCATTAACTGTAGAAACTTAAAACTTTACTACTGATTCATTTGGTTACATGAATTCTGTAGTTACTTAGAAATAGAAATGAAATGGATTTTGACTTTATTCGTATCTATTTTTCATATCTTAATGGAAATGTGCAATGCAAATAGATATCAAAGTATCCTCTTAATTCCTAACTTGGTCTTTCATAATCTTTATTCCACCATCTTCAAATCGGCCTTTTCACAGATAAAATGTAATTAATTTGAATATGTATAACTGATTTTAAGAAACAGATTATTACTGACGTCACAATCAGAGATGAATGACAACAACTGCACGCAGTACTGTTTGTAGACGGGAAGAAAATATCGTGCAATAATACACCTTGAAATTTCTTCAGAGTCCAAATTTACTTTTCCGATGCAAGCTATGGTATGCAAATAAGGCGTACTCTCCATATGCACGTGCACTGTCATTTAGAGGTCGTCTCAAATCGTGGCTTTAGTTGTTGGTTTGGGTTTCATTGGTGTTCAATTTTCATTTCTTGGCAATAATATCTATTTGAAATTTACAATTAGATAATAAAACATGTATGTTTAATAATGATGGTACATGACTGACTCAACAAAAGAAGTTTATATCAACAAAATAGCTTGTATTAAATCTTAGTAAAGAAAAACTGTTGAAAATGAAAAAAATATATATTAACTATATTTTTCTAACAGAAAGAAGTGTAACTCTTTTTTATTGAGACATCTAACGAACTAAATATTATTATGATCAATCGAAAAACGTACTTAAATATTCTGCGGTTTCAATGTAATGTTGAGTATTTCATATGTATTTGGCAGAAATTCCCGGATTAGTGTCTGATTCGTTCCGCCACTAAGTTACAAGGTGGCCACTAAGTTAAAAGAGTGAGGTTCGTCCATCCGTCTGGACAATAATTTGAAAGTGAATAAAGATATCACAATTAAATGTAGGAAACATATGAAGCAAATTGTGAATAGGTAGATATTGTTATAAAATAATTCAATTTTGTACCTGTTTTTTTGTTTTTGTTTTTTGGGGTGTTATTTTTGTACTTTGGGGGTTCAATTTGAACGTAAGAAATATCATGGGAGGCTTCGTTGTCCTATATTTTTCAACTGCTTGAAGATGTGAAGCAAGCGGTGAACAGGTTCATTTTAGTGATTTACTCTTAAGAATATTGAACAAATTTTAGCATAATGATATGTGACATTTTATGTTTTGTGCTTTACAAGTTCTTCTCAAATGTGAAAAGCAGGGTATGTGAATATGACATGATGATTCAAGCAGGGTTCATCTTTATATGAGGCTGAGGTGAGGTAGCCTAGTGGTTAAAGCGCCGTTATATTGATGGAATATTGCTAACAACGGCCTAAAACTAAACTCACTCACCCTATATGAGGCTGAATTAGGTTTCATCAATGTCGGAGTCACTGGATTCAGACTCGGGGTCGGCCAGAGAGATGACGATTGGTTGAACATGACTAATGTTAGTGCCGTCACGACGTCGGTACTCCCTCTCAATGGCAGTGGCGTGATCCTCAGCTTTCCGTAAACCTCTGGAGTTATCCTCCCAAACGAAGCATGAACCAACCCCTTCACGTCAGAGAGTTTAAAGACGTGTTATGGCAAGCCACAAACCCCTTGCAATTCGCCCAGATCAACTCGATGGGATTGAGTTCACAATGGCGGACCCTCGCTCTCGGGACAACATGACCTTGACGCAAGGCTAAGCTGTCCGTCACGTAAACATGTTTTTGTCTTTACTCGTATCTTTTCCATCAACTGGACGTTGTCTCTGTGGGCCTGAAGTACTCACCCCAAGTACTCCTCCATGTCCGCTTTCAGGATCCTCATTGTTCCCCGCCGCAACGCGGATCGGGGCACTATGTATTCAGCGGCGTCCGTCCGTACGTCCCGATTCTTGTTAACGCGATATCTCATGAACTGTTGTAACCAATGTCTTCAAATTTGGTGACAGCCTACATTGGGGGATTACCCAGACAGCGGTCGATTTTTGTGGCTTACTTTCAAGGTCACCACGACACTGACCACTTTTCAAACAAGTTTGTATTGCAGAATACAAGTTTGGCCAGGTCTTGTTTCTCAACAGCAAGACAATGTGTAAACTCACTTCGATCGCTAGGCCTGAACAACTCTTACCTCCACCCTGCTACGTGTGTTAACATTATGGAAACGAATGATTCTAGCCACAAGCTTTTCTGGGTGTGAACTGTTACCAGTCATATACGGTAATGAACTCGAAATGATTGACCGCACTCCTCGCTACTTTGCGCGCCATTATACAAGACCTGGGTTTGAGACATCATCCAACAGATTCGTCTATTTCAAACTTAGGAATGTGGTCAATGAATGGTTACATAGACAAATGTAGATGACAATTATTTGGAGGCTCTGTAATAATGATTGCAACTCCATAACGAAAGGTCTATTCTGTGCTTATATTACTACCCATGCTCCTGATAACACTAGCCGTATATGTAGTATACTCCTAAATGCTGCTAAGAGATATCACTTAGACCACTGTATCAAGAAATTTATTTGCAGCGGTTCATTCCCAGGTAAATCAGCTTGGCGATCTATTATAATCAGACGTCTCTCGGAGAATGAACAAAACATTTGGAGAGAGGGACTAGCACAGAGACAGGGTCTCTCTCTCACGATACTGTAAAATTCACACTCGTTTACAATTGCACGCCCTTTATAATCTGATCCATATCTATCCACTTTTAACACAGCCCCTGCAACTCTGCAACTGTGTCAAATCGGATCAAGAGCAAAAGAATGTAACCACTGTAATCGACATTGTTATGACTATGATTGCCATGTTATCTTGCACTATGAATCTTTCATGTCCCACAGTGAGTGAGTGAGTTTGGGTTTTACGCCGCTTTTAGCAATATTCAAGCAGTATCACGGTGGGGGACACCAGAAATGGGCTTCACACATTGTACCCATGTTGGGAATCGTTTTAACCACTTATAGGCTACCTCACCGACCCTATAACAGAATTTCTTTCTTAAACAATATAATAAGTATATGGTTCTGTGGCAGCCTCTCTCTCTCTCTCTCTCTCTCTCTCTCTCTCTCTCTCTCTCTCTCTCTCTCTCACTATATGGTTCTGTGGCACTCTCTCTCTCTGTATCTCTCTCCCACACACACACACACACAGCTTTGTAATTAAGATCATGTACATTATCAGGTATATCATTTTAAGTAGTAAGGTGTATGACATTGTTTCCATTTACTTTCTATATTTAACAAAGTAACACCTGTTAGACTCTAAGGTATGTTTTACTCTCATTTTAACCTCCACTAATCACACTGCATGCTTACAACACTCTTAGCTCCAACTCTCAGCCATTTCTGTTGTTCCACTGATAGGCCAAGCTGATCACTATATACCTTAATTTCAATGTCTATTACTTCTGAAGGAAAGACAGAAATACTTATGGCCATGAAAAATAGCTCATGTTTCATGTTTGCAAATTTACATAGGAATTTCATCAGGATTTGAGATTGTACAGACAAGTCACCACGTCTTATCAACTTGCATCAACTTGCATATAACCAACCTGGCTGTCTCAAGCATAGAATACTACGCTTACATAGCGCTGTTGTAGTTCCAAAAGAAATTATTAATGCCTCAAGATTTATTTTCAGTTTGATGAAATATCAACAGAACCAATCACACAGATTGTATTTTATTATATTTTATAGGTACCTACAAGGAATTCCTGTTGGGAGACTCAGGAATGTTTCATCTTGTAATATGTTTTTTTAGTCACGTTTTTGTGTTACTTTCATACACTCTTTATGAATATTTTATGTGAATCAATGCAATTAAGAAATACAAATTATTGTTCTATTTTGAGTTTTGTGTTTATGTGTTGTTAAAACTACACAAAATGCAGCAAATACCATTTTCATAGCCCAAAGTCAGTTGAAATAAGTTATACCTTCAGTATCTATGCCTCCTGCTAGACCATTCAGAGTTGCCCTTACCCCCATAGTCTCCAGGATGGCAGCTTCTGGCATTGTTGGGGAAGCTGGTTTGGGCCCTCCTCCTGTTTTGGGCCGACGGATGGCATCATTCTTTTCCTTTGCTGAAAATATTTTGCACAGTATTGATAAAGATATTAAATTTTAATCCGTTTGGTTTACATTACATTTATATAAAATATTTCTTACAGAATTAATTTGTGACATTAATGTCATTATAATCATCAAATAGGCTTGAAAATGTTTATTTAAATATGTTTTATAAGCAACTTCATAAAGAAAATGTATAATGATATACCTGATATTATTATATCATAATGAGACTGATTATACATGTATATACATGTTGGCACGGTACTGCATGGTCACACCCACTCACCGATACCACAGTCTAGATTCGTAAAAGATATTTCATGCTTATGAATTTGGTACAACTACTTTTGAAAGTAGATTTTTTACAAATCTATACTGTGGTATTATTTACCAGACACAAAAAAAACCATTAGGAATAAGCACAAATCTGCAAAACCTTGAGTAACGTGGCCCAATATTAACGTGGGCCAAAAGCTTGCAGTGATAATGTATGGGGCAGGTAACTCTAATTCTGCACTTTGCTGACCTAGTTTTTCACCTTCAGTTTTTGCACAGGTGTCAGATTCATCCATACACGATTACGTTTTTCTGGTTATATTTATCGTATTTTTTTCCTGGAAATTTAGTTACTGGTGCATTCAACGAAAAGTAACTTACGCATTTAGCGCCGTCATTGCCTCCTCCCATGCCTCCTCTCCCCCTCTTCGCTCCACACACCCATATCCCGCTAGTAGCCATTCTCAACATCATATGCAGTTTCCTATCGGTAGACGACTTCGCTAGCAGACGACTTCTACCGTGTTTACATTAGAAACGGAAGTTGATTTCCGCGCCATGGCCGCTTACACCACGTATAAAAAATAAACTCGGATCGATCTCAAATTCTGAGTTACAAACTCAGCTGAGTTTTGACTGAGTTTGTTTTGAGAAACGCTACTGAGTTAGAAACTTGAGTAAAAACTTAAGTTTGTTTCGAAATCGGGGCCAGAAATGGGTAAAAGTTCAACTATCCTCGGCAAGCCTCGGATATTTGTAACTTTATCAAGACACTTGGGTGACATTCTCTCTATGTAAAAATAGACATATATGCCTGACGACGATGATATGCTGTGACATTCGTAACTCTTGTGTCAAAGCCGGATGGCGCTTGACGACGAGATACGAATATGCTGTCATTGTTTCTCGGCGCATATAATATATACATTTCTTAACTGAAACAATTATAAATGATACATGTGAATACATAATACTGTCATTTTGTCACTTCGTATGGAATCTAAAGAAATATCTACTGTACATTTACTCCCTACTGCTCACAAATTGTACATTGTAAATTATTCATAATTAAAAGAGCAGTGCAACATAGCGCCTGTTTTCACTTTGCAACAAACGCTGTTTCATTTTGTTTGGGGGCGGTGGGGTAGCCTATATAGTGGTTATCTAGCGTTCACTCCTCACGCCGACGGCCCGGGTTCGATTCCCCACATGGGTACAATGTGTGAAGCCCATATCTGGTTTCACCCGCCGAGATATTGCTGGAATATTGCTGAAATCGGCGTAAAACCATACTCATTCAGTCATTTTGAAAATGAAAATGTATTTACTATGCATGTTCTTCGGATTCAACTCTGGAGGAAATAAAGACATTCATTTATCACAAACTATTCCACAAAACAAGAAAAAATTACTGAATAAATCTCTTTTTACACGAAGCTCCTAACCGTACATTCATTCCCTAAAATAGATTCAAGGGAGATAACCACACCCGGAAGTACGTGAACTTGTTGCAACAAGCAGGCGAGGGAGATGTAAATAGGGGATTGCTTCATAACCAGATAACGGTCTTACAGCAAACTGTAGCACCGGACGCAGCAACCAGAAATATTCCCTCAGTCATGGAACCCTGGGGTCAGCTTGTGTGTACAACTGACACGGAGACACCGCCCATTGAACTGGACAAGGAGAAGTTCACCATTGGACGAGCTGAAGGTGGCGATGTTTATCTATGATATGAACATTTGCTCATAGGCGCCTATTGATGTTTTATATAATTTAGGTTACGAACCAGATAAACTATTCTTTTGGCTGGCTGTCATCTTCATACGTATGTTTTGACTGAAGTGCACATGCTCAAAGTTCAAAACCGGCCATATAAGCTGATCTTGTTGGGTAGTGAATTGGGTCTGAAATTTTAAGGCACTTTCAACTTCTCCAAGTACACAGCTGATAGCACAGGTGCTGCAGACACCGTCAATACTGTATGTCAGTTGTCAAGGCTTTTATTCTTCTCAACCACACATGCTGGAAAATATGACAACATTTACCTGTGTGTTCTGTGCTTATTGAAGTCTGCTTCAGACCAGATACCAAAATACATTTCGTAACATCAGCCTTGGTACAATGTATCATTCAATATGTGTGTTTAGCAACTAGTGTTAGTGCAATCTGCAGTATTCCAGCTATATGGAGGCAGTCTGTAAATATTCCAATCTGGATCAGAAATTCCAGTGATCAACAGTATGAGCATCGATTTACGCAATTGGGATACAAAGACATGTACGTGTCAACCAAGTCAGGGAGCCTGACCACCCGACTCCTCTTATGACAAGCATGGGTTACTGAAGATCAATTCTATCCTTGATCTTCACAGATTGTTCGATATGTGACTGATAGTTGTACAGAATTGTCAACTCGCCCAATTACTCTTTTTCACATTGGGGCAAGAGTGGCCCAAAATCTCAAGCAGCACTTCACTTTCCAGAGTTGTTTCCCTTAGTCTTGCCAACAGGATCCAAAGATTACACATTCTAATCCCTGACATGTCGGCACCATATCCATCCATGCTCATGGGTTTCATTGAAGTTATAACTTTGAATGTTTGCATGTCTAATTATAACATGTAACCATGTTGGGGGAACATTGTAAAGTATTCACTCATCATGCAGAATTCCTGACTGGTGTACAATGACTAAAGACCGATACCTGATCCCATGGTATTGCTAGAATTTGCTGAAAATCAGCGTACAACCATTCTCAAATAAGTTGACGTGCTGTTTACTTGTGGTGGTCCGATTGATTGAAATAATCGAAGATTGGTCGCAATCACTAAACGACCAAGCAATCGATCATATTTTCTCATAATCGAACACAAACAATTTTGGAAGAAAATCGTTCCACGTCATGATTGAATTTATCTTAAAGACTCCAGGAAATTTATGTTCCCAACATACTAGTCATCCTTTAAAGATGTCAGATTTGCAATATGCATTTTGTGTAGTTTGAAAAAAAAAAGAAAGAACTAAAGGTTTTGTGTTCTACTTTTTGTACATATCCAAACATAACGAGGAAAATTTGATAATGACGCTTACCAATTATTTTCGATGATTGATCGGATGTAATGAACCAATCATCAATTATGAGATTTAAACCAATTCCCAACACTACTGTTTACCAATTGACATACTGTTCAAAGCTGTGTTAAATTCACTCACTCACTCATTACAAGTGGAGGTCCGATTAATTGAAATAATCGAAGATTGGTCGTAGTGACTAAACGACCAAGCAATCGATCATAATTTCTCATAATCGAACACAAACAATTCTGGAACACTGGTTTTCATTAACAATATTTTTCACATGGTGAGTTTTGTCTGTTACATTTCGCAAGCACTGCAAGCTCCTTTCAAGTCATGATTGAATTAATCTTAAAGATTCCAAAAATTTATGTTCCCAACATACTAGTCATCCTTTAAAGATTTGAAATTTTGCCCAAAAAACCCTAAAAGAACAACATGTTTTTTCCTTATTTTTATGTGCATTAACAAATTTCATAAATGAAGCTAACCAATTATTTTCTATGATTGATCGGTTTTAATGAACCAATCATCAATTATGAGATTTGAACCTATTCCCAACACTACTCATTACATCACTCACTCACTCACTCACTCACTCACTCACTCACTCACTCACTCACTCACTCACTCACTCACTCACTCACTCACTCACTCACTCACTCACTCACTCACTCACTCACTCACTCACTCACTCACTCACTCACTCACTCACTCACTCACTCCTATCCACCTAGTGACACAAAAAGTTCCTAAACATTTTTGCAACTGCTCATGATCAATATGAAAATAGCATGAAGAATTGTCTATTGTGAAAATGTTGAATAATGTGTTACCATTTGAGAAATAGTGAGTGAGTGAGTTTTGGTTTTACGCCACTTTTAGCAATATTCCAGTAATATCACGGTGGGGGACACCAGAAATGGGCTTCACACACTGTACCCAAGTGGGGAATCGAACCCGGGTCTTCGGCGTGACGAGCGAATGCTTTAACCACTAGGCTACCCCACCGCCCCCATTTGAGAAATAACAACTCAACAAATGAACCATTTTTTGGTGACAGAATTCCCAAGCTCATCAGTTAAAATTACTTCAGCATGGCAAACTGAAAAACATTCAAAATGAAATTTATCATCTTAATCATTTATTAATAGTTCAGAGCAGAGACCGATCGGTATATGGTCTCTGCTAGGAGTTAAATGATGATAATTGTTAAATAATTTATTTTGCATGTTTTTTTTTCAAAATCCAATTTACCTTTTGTTATGTATTCCATTTCCCAGGGAATGACATCTTCCTGGCTGGCAACAAGCTTGTGTCTGGAGTCCACTGCTATATTGAGAAAGATGCATCAGGAAAAGTGTGGCTGTATGATAGCAGGTACCCTGCCCTTTTTCCAGTTACTGTGGGGACAAACTTTATATACCCAGGGTCACTTTTCCCAAACAATCACAGCTATGGCCAGACCAATTTTATTTCTTGTTTTACGGATCCGCCTGTCGAATTTTTTCAAGATTAAGAAAAAAATAAATAAATAAATTTTCCCTGCTCATCCAAAAATGTAAACCTATAGGAATCATTTTTGTAGATTGTTTTTTGCCCCATATACACTTCATAAATTGCCCAAAGTAAAATACTTTGAGTATTTAGAAAGAATATTATTATTACTTTGACTGGAGATTTTATTTTTATTTTTGTTCCCTCCTACCTTTAGGCTTTCTGAGGACAAAAAAATCCATAAAACAAGAAATAAAATTGGTCTGGCCTAAGGAAGGTTAACATTAACTGGATGAACAACTTCTTTATTTGCTGTGAGAGTGACGTTTCGGTGTAGGTTAAACACCGATATCAAGCAAGTGATAAACAGCATAAGGATGGAGGAGCATATATACATGTTAAAGTATATGTTTGTACAGTACAATAGGGATTAGGATGCCAGACACAATAATAACACAAGGGCTTTGATAGAAACGTTAAAGGTCACATAAACCCTAGGGGGTACAAATACATAAATCACTAACTGGCATCGTTATAAATGAAACCCCGTCATTAAAACTACTCATTTCGACCTTTTTGACAACAGTGCACAATTCTCACCCACGAACGAAATTTCAACCAATCAGAGCGGCGCGTCTCTGTGACGTCATATGAGGAATAGCTTTGAGGGCCGATGCAGAATTCATCTACATTTTAGGGGGTAAATTATCTTGTTTACAGGCTTGTATAAACCTGAAATCGTGACAATTGTTGTGGAAAATGAAAGCTATATGTTCTCACAATCTACTGTCATTTAATTTTGTCTCCTGCTTAGCCTAGTTTCCGAGTTACAACTTGTTTTCATAGACGGTTCTGTCAAAATCGATTGGTGTCGTTAGGCCCTATTTGTATAATGACTGATCTAAATTGATCCCATTTCTGTGTTTTTTTACCTCGATATTTAATCATGTCATGTAAAAATCTGTTTGTATTCTCAAAACAGTGTCGGCCCATAAGTTTTCACATGCAATACAGCAATTAATACTCCCTTGTTGTAACCCGTGTTAGGTGGTATAAACCTACACATGTTATTTGTCATCATTCACTTGATGGTCAGTTAATGAATTTATAACAGGTATAATTAGTGGTAAGACACTTAGATTACCCGACAAAGGTTCCCATTTGGCATTTCTTGTGTCTGGAGTAAATATTTAACACTATTCAACATCGATCAAAGGATTAACCGATAACACGCTGATTGATTAATTACTTTTATCTTACACAGCGGAATTGTCAAAAGGTAGTGTTTATGTATGTAGATTTACTAATCTATACTGAATACACTCTGTCGTGTCGGTGTCTGCGTAAAAACAACGTGCTTCGTTCAAAGGATTAACCGGCAATACATTGATTGATTGCCCATTATTGGCTAACTAAATTACTGTTTTTAAAGAAAGGCGGACATTATGCAATAAGTTGCCAGGTGTGCTATCTTGGGTGACCAATGAGACTATACACCAATACCTGAAAAGATTGATCACTTTTCAGGTATATTAAACTGTTAAAAGACACATCATTTGGAACAGTTTTGTGGATATTGATGGATACATTCCTCGAACAAGGTAATGGCCTGATATTGTTCCTATAACTTTAATCTGTTTTAATTTTAATATTTGCATTTTGTTTTATTCATTTGTCGTAGCATTCAACAGAATCATTGTTTTCGCCGTGAAGTGTAATGAGACAGACAACATACACTAGGGTGTGTGTGCGGATTATGATTCACATTGGCAAACTATAAAATGTCTAGATATTACAATTCTGTTATACATTCACTATAAGTATCAGCAGATCGTCTGCTTTTTATTTAGTTTCAAAATGCATACAAGTATGATAACAAACTAATTAGGATTATAAGACCAAATATAAAGACGCACATTGACTAGTAGCTACATACTGGTGAGTGGACATTAACCATGTGAATGTAGCAAGAAATTGTAACTTCGACCCCACCACCTGGCTTCCGTGGAAGAAATCGTTATGTTATAAGTTATGTCATGCAAAATCCGTTTGGTTATGATTCCAATACATATTTAACTACGAGTAGAAAGTAGTTTGATTTTCTAACTTGATGAAAACAAACTATAATCTCATTAATTCTAACAGACTTTCACGATTTTCAAAAATGATGCCCTGTCGGGAACATCCGCCAGTCTGAGGATAAATGCTATTTAGGTTTGTTTTCACCGAGTCTAAAATCAAAACTACTTTACTGGTTAATAAAATATTTATTTTATTGATGGCCAATAAGACTTTGCATGACATAGCGTATAACATAACAATTTCTTTCCTGGCAGCGAGGTGGGTGTTAATATAATACCACTTACAATATTATTGTTACTTCTAACACAACCTCACTTCCGAGGAAGAAATCGTTATGTTACAAGTTGTGTCATGGAAAATCTTTATGGTCATCAATCATATACATATTTTACTACAACTAGTAAGTAGATTTGATTCTTTAACTTCCATGAAGCGATCTGAACACAAGTAAGATATCGTTTCAGGCTTCCAGCAACGCCGCCGCACTCACAAACATAACCCATTTAGCCCGCGAACTCGCGGGGTCCTGTGGAAATCTGTGCATGAGTGACACCATCGCCCGACCCTAGGAGCAATTGGATCGACAAAGCAACGATTAACGTAATGTCGTCGTTGATGTCGAGAAATCATCAAAATGATGAGCATGCTACACACTTTCTATACAACTAACTGAAAATTGTTCCTCATATGACGTCACTGCAGTGCTCAGGCGACAGAGTTACGTAACCTGTCTGTGGTTTCTTTGGCGGGCGAGAGAGAAGCAGGCGACTTTTTGGCCACTTTTAATCGCTCGGTATTAATTAACCACAAGTTTTTAAAGAATAAATTTGGTGTTCCTCATAAGACTAACCACAAATCTTTCATATGTAATGGTTAAGAGAGTAACAAAAAACAAAGTTTAGTGGTTCTTTAACAATGAAGCCTGCAAAGTACACAAGGGGATAGTGAAGCCTGTGGTATACATAAACGGGGAATTATCGCTGATGAGGATCTTTAATGAGTTGGTAGTATGCAGGAGGTATGTAGTAACCTTGGTTACGGTTGATTGGTGCCTGGATTCTTTGGTGTGGATGGCTTCTTGGAGTTTCCTGAGTTTAAAGTCTGATGAGGTTGGATGTTAGGGTTTGGGTTTTGTCCCACTGGAGACTGTGGTCGAGATTGTGTTTGATGTGATCTGATAGGGCTGATTTAGAGTCAAGTTTAGATGCTGAGGTCTGATGCTCTTTGATTAGGAAACGGCGCTCTCACAGCAATAAAGAAGTTGTTCATGCAAATATTGTTATCCTTCCTTACTGCCCCAACTTTTAAATGCCTCTCAAAGAAGTAATCACAGCTATGTTCAAATTATTGGACTAAACAACTGTAACACTGGAGTCAGTTCGTGGAATGAGGCCAACGATCCTTTCAGTTTGACAAGAGGCATCCATTGCTTTATCTTAATCTATGCAGAGGCCTAGTGGCTGCAATAGTTGTATGAACCCCAGGGAGTAGAGATTAATAATACAATGTGCCATTTGAGACTGAAATCCAATGATCGAGGGAAAAACAAAGGGCTTTTGAGCAGCTGAGCTGGATATTGGCTCTCTACAAATATTAGCATAAGGCCAGACCAATTTTATTTCTTGTTTTACGGATACGCCGGTTGTATTTTTTCAAGATTAAGAAAAAAATTAAAACTTAATTTTCCCAACTCCAAAATTAAAATTTTAATATTTCTAGTGGCCAAATATGTAACTGTGCGAGAAAATGTTTTTAGATTGTTTTTCCCCCATATACATTTCATGAACTGTCAAAAGTAAAATACTTTGGGTATTTAAAAGGAATATTACTTTGGTGATTTTTATTTTTTATTTTTTACATCCTGCCTTTAGGATTTCTGAGGACAAAATCCGTAAAACAAGAAATAAAATTGGTCTGGCCTAATGATAATAAGTATTGTCTGCAACACGAAATCCCAACTTGTAATTAGTGTTGGGTATTGCTTAAACTGGTATTGCGATTTATTGTGATATGTGTTGGTGTATTGCAATATGTATTGCAATATATTGTGAAAATGTAACACATGGTTTCGGTTATGAAATTAATGTTTTCTTTCTTTTGAAACAATGCCACTGACCACTGTCAGGACTCAGATGTGATTGTACAAGAGATCAATTGAAAATGTTTCCAAAATGAAGGCTTCGCTTAAAAGTTTGTGATTCGAGAAAAAACTTCTGTAGTAGCGTCCGCCATTTTGGTTTGTTTATCCCTACAACAAGAGCCGGTACCAATCTATTTTTTTAATTTTATTGTTTAAAAGTCAAGCAGATGCAAGTATATGACCAATAAACATTCTCAAAACTATTAATGTATAATAGTATAAACGAAATACAAATGTTATTAGAATTTTTACTGCATTGCGAAAATTACCGATCATGGTCACGGAAATTGCCGATCGTATCGGGTGAACCGGTTCGTGAAATGTGTACTGCAATATATCATATTATGTAGTTCGAATTGCAATATACCGGTTAACCGGTATTATCGCCCACCCCTACTTGTTATACATATTTTTATTAAAATGGGGTATTAAAATGGACTCCGTCCGTCCGTCCATCCGTCCGTCTATCCGTCCGACCGTGCACATTTGTCTTTTCGGAGCAGAACTCTAAAACCGTTCACTATTTCTTCACAAAACTTGGCACATAGATAGATCTGGTGGAGTACTGGTGCCTTTTGGTAGTTTTGGAATTCTGAATAAAATATTTTTGGCGTTTCCATGGCAACAAAGTCGACTTAGAATGAAATTAGTCGTAGTGCTCTTTTCCGGAGCAGAACTCTAAAACCGTTTGCTATTTCTTTACCAAAGTTGGCACATAGATTGGTCTGGTGGTGTACTGATGCCTTTTGGTAGTTTTGGAAATCTGAATAAAATATTTTTGGCATTTCCATGGCAACAAGTTTGACTTAGACTGAAATTAGTGGTAGTGCTCTTTTCCGGAGCAGAACTCTAAAACCGTTAAGTGTTTCTTCACCAAACATGGCACATAGATAGATGTGGTGGTGTACTGGTGCCTTTTAGTAGTTTTGGAATTCTGAATAAAATATTTTTGGTGTTTCCGTGGCAACAAGTTCGACATAAACTGAAATTGGTGATAGTGCTATTTTCTGGAGCAGAACTTTAAAAACCTTTAAATACTTTCCTTCCACTTTTATATATACACACCTAAATATTTGACATAATCATAACTCGTAGACATGATCATGAAGAGTATTTTGCCATTGCAGGGGATATTGATGACTTTGTCTTCTTGTTGAATTATACTTGTAATTACAGATATTTCAAAAGAATTGTGTTATCCCTAGTTCTTGTTTCCTAGGAGGTCATGCATATTAAAAAAGAAGGTATTACTGCGTAGAGTGGCCTCCCTTATCAGTGCCAGGATCAAGTCATCATGGGTTCAGATTAACTCTGATTAGGATCCTAGATTTATCGGTGAAAATCTACGACCTTTATTACTTTCCGCTTTTCTCCGACGTCAAACTGACAAGCTATGATATATTTGAAAAAACTGTTAAATTAGTGTAGTGTCCAATAAATTTCCTATCCCTTGCTGGGATTTGAACCACAGACCTTCTTATCTAAAGTCAGACGCCTTGTCCACATGACCAAAGGGGTTAACTCTGTGGGCAAGCTGATAAGGTAGTGATATTATATGTGGGATGATGCCCTGCTATATTAGTGTTTACCAAACTCACTCATGAAAGGTATTGTGATCTATTTCCATCATATTCATATGTATAAGCATCCTCGATAATCTCCAGGGTATACGTTACGATAACTCTCCACTATACCCTGCATGCATCTACGGCTCGGCCCAATGATTTTATTATCTCCCTTTGCTGGTTCAGCATTCTCACAGTAACCAATCAGATAAGCCGCCGTTACAACCGAGCTTGCCAGTGTCAACAAAAATAGCGGTTGCAGCCGCTAAAGTTTGTTCGCAGTGTGACTCAGATTTGGGGGGAAAACATACAGACAAATTGTCAGGTCTGAAGCCTTAAAAAAATATATGCAAGAACTCCTTCTTTCAGAGTATCTGTAACAATAGATTATTGTGTTGACAAGTTTAATTGGTTACATAATTTAAAAAAGCGAAAGTGAGTTGTGATTGGTACACTCAACTTCCCAGCGTAGACACCTGATTGGATAAAAAGCCAACCAAGGGAGGTAATAAAATCATCAGGGCCGAGCCGTAGATGCATCCAGGGTATAGTGTAGAGTTATCTTAACGTATACCCTGGAGATAATCGAGGATGATGTATAAGAGGCGATGGGGTAACCTAGTGGTTAAAGCGTTGGCTTGTCATGCTGAAGACTCGGGTTCGATTCCCTATGTGGGTACAATGTGTAAAGCCCATTTCTGGTGGCTCCTGCCATGATAATGCTGGAATATTGCTAGGGTAGGGTTGGTGAAGTTTGGGTTACAGTGTGTATTACAGTTAGAGGCAGGGATCTGTTAGACGGAGACTGTGTGAGTTTGGTTTTACTACACTTTGGACAGTGTTCCAGTTATGTGTGTCCTCTCTGAAGTGACGTGTGTCTTAGACCTTTACTAATTTGGTGATACCCATAAGCAGACCTTTCTTACGATGAGTTCAGTCAGTTTCCAAATGACCTGGGTGCCGATGTACAAAACAACATAAGACTACCTTAAGTCAATGTTAAGTATGGGAGTTAGTGCTAAGATTGCTTTGCACAATGGCACCCAGACCTGTTAGTACAAATACAAAATGATAACCTGCAACTCTGAAAATAACTGTTCAGATACAAATATCCATTAAATTGTTTATTGACTTTAAATTCATATGTACATGACAATAAAATACAATATAGTGTGTCTACCACACAGTTATGGTGTGGACAAACCTAGAAACATAAAGATGAAAACTGGGTTTTGAACCCACAATCAGAGATTTCCATGATGCACAGTAAAGTTTTGGCCCCCCGGACAACTAGCCTACTCATACCCCTGACAATTGTATAGTGTGCCATCAGTACTTTATGTTTGACTGACCCGTGAAGGTCCAGGTTAGAATGAACCTTCAGTAACCCTGCTTGTCGTAAGAGGCGACTAACAGGATTGTGTGGTCAGACTCACTGGCTTGGTTGACACATGTCATCGGTTTCCAATTGCGCAGATCGATGCTCATGCTGTTGATCACTGGATTGTCTGGTCAAGACTCGGTTATTTACAGACTGCTGCCATATAGCTGGAATATTGCTGAGTGCAGTGTAAAACTAAACTCACTCACTCACTCACTAATGTTTGACTATTCTCCTCATCCCGCAGCACCAATGGCACCCTGCTGAACATGACCCATAAGCTGACCAAAGGGGAGGTAAGTTGCCACCTACGTCTCATCAAGTTATTTCGGTGATATCTTGTACTCTGATTCAATGCCTGTGCATTAAAATCTGACAACTCTTCCTCAGCAGTTTGCACCAAATATACTGTCAAATCATCGAGCATTTTAACTTGTCTGTACCGGGGAATGGATCATTCAGATTCTACCCGTGAAGAATTGGTCTTCAGCAACCCATGCTTGTCATAAAATTAGGCGACTAACGAGATCAGGTGGTTACTGTTATGGTATATCAGTCGTGTTGATTGATGCTCATGATGTTTATCACTGATGGCCTAGTCAAGATTCCATTATATACAGGGTGCCACCATATTACCATATAATCACAAACAAGCATTCAGGTTCTGTTTGGTGTATCTAGAAGTGAAGTTATGCTACCAGTTCTTAACGTAAACGATAAAGGTAGTTTTGCTAAAGAATCCACACTGTTTTAAGTAGCGTTATCGGGGAAGCAATGAAAGGCAGAGACTCAGTAATTCCTCGCACAGTGTGGCAGTAAGGGTGTTGGAGTTAAAGAGATGTTTAGGCTGGGACTTCTGTGTTTTCAGTGTCGACAGCTACAGCATGGAGATGAGTTCCACGTCGTGTACAAGAAGAACAACGAAGAACTCAGTGAGAGAATGTTGGGTTTATTACACTTTGGTCATGATGTGTCTGCTGTATGTGGGAAGAAAGACCAATTTGGCATTGTATACTGTGGGCATACAGTTGTATTATGTTGAAACCAGGAACCTGTCGTCATGGAAATGAATGACTTCATTCATCATGGCATGCCATTTTTACTAATACGATGCTGTCATTTTGCAGTTTTGTTTAAAGATTTTTCTGTGCTATTGAATATTTAATGAATTTCTTGGTTCAAATACTCAGGTCTATAATCATGTTTTTGTATTCATCTGACCAAACAAAAGTTGGTGATGATTGCAGATATCGGGTACCTGTATCAGGATCTCCAGGAACTTGCCAGGGAGGAACAAGAAGAACTGGAGGGCACCGAAGAATACCACCACCATCCAAATCCTGATGCCACACTAGAGGGTGAGTCTGTTGTATTACCACCAGCCAGTCCTGATGCCTCTCTAGAGGGTGAGTCTGTTGTACCACCACCAGCCAAATCCTGATGCCACACTAGAGGGTGAGTCTGTTGTATTACCACCAGCCAGTCCTGATGCCACTGTAGAGGGTGAGTCTGTTGTACCACCACCATCCAAATCCTGATGCCACACTAGAGGGTGAGTCTGTTGTATTACCACCAGCCAGTCCTGATGCCACTGTAGAGGGTGAGTCTGTTGTACCACCACCATCCAAATCCTGATGCCACACTAGAGGGTGAGTCTGTTGTATTACCACCAGCCAAATCCTGATGCCACTGTAGAGGGTGAGTCTGTTGTACCACCACCAGCCAAATCCTGATGCCACACTAGAGGGTGAGTCCGTTGTATTACCCCCAGCTAGTCCTGATGCCACTGTAGAGGGTGAGTCTGTTGTACCACCACCAGCCAAATCCTGATGCCACTGTAGAGGGTGAGTCTGTTGTACCACCACCAGCAAAATCCTGATGCCGCTCTAGAGGGTGAGTCTGAGTCTGTAACCCTGATGCCACACTAGAGGGTGAGTCTGTTGTACCCCCACCAGCTAAATCCTGATGCCACTCTAGAGAGTAAGTCTGTTGTACCACCACTACCCTAATCCTAATGCTGCTCTAGAGGGTGAGTCTGTTGTACCACCACTGAAACCTACCTGATCAAGATGTACTTGTAATGTGTCGGATACTGCCCTGACTGGTCAGTGTGTCTGATACTGCCCTGACTGGTCAGTGTGTCTGATACTGCCCTGACTGGTCAGTGTGTTTGTTACTGCCCTGACTGGTCAGTGTGTCTGATACTGCCCTCACTGGTCAGTGTGTCTGATACTGCCCTGACTAGTCAGTGTGTCTGATACTGCCCCGACTGGTCAGTGTGTCTGATACTGCCCTGACTGGTCAGTGTGTTTGTTACTGCCCTGACTGGTCAGTGTGTCTGATACTGCCCTCACTGGTCAGTGTGTCTGATACTGCCCTGACTCGTCAGTGTGTCTGATACTGCCCTGACTCGTCAGTGTGTCTGATACTGCCCTGACTCGTCAGTGTTTTTCTACCCTAATTCGTAAGTCCATTGCTACTCTATCAGTTCCTCCTGGATTCCATGGCAAATTTTAAGAATTCTGCGGCATATTTAAGTAAATTCTGTATTCTATTCTTCAAAATTCTGCAAAACATTCTTCAGTTAAAAACTTGAAAAAAAATAATAATAATATTTTTTATTTTCAAAAAGATCAATTTTGTGAACATAATTGCAGTGTCAAATTCATATAATATTATTGAAATGTGCTTAAGAAAAGATTACCTTATGAATAAATCATCTTTATTCGTGAATATTTTGAAAATATCGTTATAACAAATCTCAGTTCGTGTTTGTGTAACCAATCATACTTTTGACTTTTACCCCTATTTTTCATTTCGGGTGATAGTCAATCTTGATTCAACTTTCAAAATAAGTGAGGTGAGGTGAAATTGGGTTTAACGTCGTGCTTGAGAATATATCGCTCATATGACAACGTGCATGCGTGTGTATGTGTATCTGCAGCTGCTTGTACTAGCCCAGACTGCAGCTGGCTTTATATGTAATGCTAGCCCACTGGGATACCATGCCGCAGTGAAGCATGAATACCCCACTCAGACACATTATACTGACTCTGAGCCAACCAGTCCTTGTTGTATCCATTAATGCCGAACGCCAGGCAGGGACCAACAAGTACCATATTTTAACGTCATTTGGTATGATGCCGTCGGGGATCGAACCTTCCGCTCTCCGGGCGGATGCTCTAACCACTACACCATGGAGACGGTTTTCAAAATAAGTAAATTCCGCAGCAGAAAAATGGCAAATTCTGCAGGTACTAGTATTCTGCATGAAAATGAGTTTTCTGCCTCAAAAGTATATTTCCGCGATTTATTCTGCAACGGCAGAATCATGGAATCCAGGATGGATTGCTCTAAGTAGTCTACAACCACTCACGACAGTGGGTTTATTATTTGTCTAGTTGAAGGAACTATTTTTATACCAAATCAGTCCATTCATGGCAAGAAGCAGGACATGTTTCAAGTAAGTGTAGACAACTTTTAAATTAAACAGTGATGGACATAAAATGCAAGGAAGCTTTGTTGGTAATGTAACTTTAATGTTCTCGTGTTACAGACAATGAGTTAAACATGGTGGACTCACCCGAGTCCAAGAAGAGACCTCACCCATCAGATGAGACCATTGTAGAGCCTTCTCTGAAGAAACACAAATCTAGTGAACCTCCAACTGCCAATAGCACTCCACCACCCACTTCTGCCACTGACAAGGACCAAGGTGAAGGTCAGTTGAAACATAACCATATCATGATGTTGCAGTCAGCAAATTCAAGACATCATTGTGACATTTGTAAGACATTAAGTTGGAGTGCATGGTCTTGATGTCAGGTGAATCCCAAGAGAATTCAACTGAATATGAGAATACATGAACCCATCTTTAGCTCACCTGACCAGCTTACAAAATAATGTCTTGGTTTATCATCCTCGATAATCTCTAGGGTATCGTTCTGCTAAATCTCCACTACAACCCTGGATGCATCGACGACTCGGCCAGATAATTTTATTACCTCTCTCTATTGGCTACACCTTCACACAGTAGCCAATCAGATAAGCCGTTACAGTCGAGCTTGCCAGTGTCAACAAAGATGACGGCTGAAGCCTCAAAGGTGACTCAGATTTAGGGAAAAATTCATACAGACACATTGACAGGTCTGAAACCTTTAAAAATATATGCAAGAACTCATTCTATCTCTTTCAGAGTACCTCTGTAACAATTGTGTTGACAAGTTTAAGCGGTTAGATAAAAAAGGAGAAAGTGAGTAATGAAGCCTTGTGATTGGTATGCTCAACTTCCCAGCATAGATAAAAAGTCGGCAAAGGGAGGCAGTGGAGATGGTATTAGTAGAGATGTATCGGAAAGTATACCCTGGAGATTATCGAGGACGATGGTTTATATGTTGACTGTACTCCATCAGAAACCACTGATCAATGAGGGTGGAACTTTTAATCTCATTTCAAAGGACGATGACATGTCAATGTTTTCAAGAGGTTCAAATCCTATTTTCAAAATGGCCCCATCAGTAGCCATATTGAAAAATCCCTTTGTGGTTATTATGCAACCATGTTTGTTAAAAATGTCATCAAATGAGGTATGTCACCAGTCTGAGACCCTGGTCTTCATGCCTTACTAGGGGGTTCAGATTTCTGTTTCCCTGGTCTTCATGCCTAACTAGGGGTTCAGATTTCTGTTTCCCTGGTCTTCATGCCTTACTAGGGGTTCAGATTTCTGTTTCCCTGGTCTTCATGCCTTACTAGGGGTTCAGATTTCTGTTTCCCTGGTCTTCATGCCTTATTAGGGGGTTTAGATTTCTGTTTCCCCTGGTCTTCATGCCTTACTAGGGGTTCAGATTTCTGTTTCCCTGGTCTTCATGCCCTAACTAGGGTTCAGATTTCTGTTTCCCTGGTCTTCATGCTTTACTAGGGGTTCAGATTTCTGTTTCCCTGGTCTTCATGCCTTACTAGGGGTTCAGATTTCTGTTTCCCTGGTCTTCATGCCTTACTAGGGGTTCAGATTTCTGTTTCCCTGGTCTTCATGCCTTACTAGGGGTTCAGATTTCTGTTTCCCTGGTCTTCATGCCTTACTAGGGGTTCAGATTTCTGTTTCCCTGGTCTTCATGCCTTACTAGGGGTTCAGATTTCTGTTTCCCTGGTCTTCATGCCTTACTAGGGGTTCAGATTTCTGTTTCCCTGGTCTTCATGCCCTAACTAGGGGTTCAGATTTCTGTTTCCCTGGTCTTCATGCCTTACTAGGGGTTCAGATTTCTGTTTCCCTGGTCTTCATGCCTTACTAGGGGTTCAGATTTCTGTTTCCCTGGTCTTCATGCCTTATTAGGGGTTCAGATTTCTGTTTCCCTGGTCTTCATGCCTTACTAGGGGTTCAGATTTCTGTTTCCCTGGTCTTCATGCCTAACTAGGGGTTCAGATTTCTGTTTCCCTGGTCTTCATGCTTTACTAGGGGTTCAGATTTCTGTTTCCCTGGTCTTCATGCCTAACTAGGGGTTCAGATTTCTGTTTCCCTGGTCTTCATGCCTTACTAGGGGTTCAGATTTCTGTTTCCCTGGTCTTCATGCCTTACTAGGGGTTCAGATTTCTGTTTCCCTGGTCTTCATGCCTTACTAGGGGTTCAGATTTCTGTTTGTCTGAAGAGTTGACTGAATGGATGACATTGTCAGTCTGTGAGAGTGAGAGAGTGAGTTGAGTTTTACACCGCTCTCAGCAATATTCCAGCTATATGGCGGCAGTCTGTAAATAATCGAGTGTGGACCAGACAATCCAGTGATCAACAGCATGAGCATCGATCTGCGCAATTGGGAACCGATGACATGTGTCAACCAAGTCAGCGAGCCTGACCACCCAATCCCGTTAGTCGCCTTTTATGACAAGCAGTCGCCTTTTATGACAAGAATGGGTTGCTGAAAACCTATTCTACCCCGGATCTTCACGGGTCGTCAGTCTGTGACCTATACAAGCTGTCATGGTATCCAACCAGTACTCAACAATAGGCAAGACATATGACAGCATTTGTCAAAATGGAGTCTGGACCAGACAATCAAGTGTTTTGGATGCATGTCATTGTATAGTTTGACATGAAATGCATGTGGACCCGGGTTTTTTTGTAAATATCTCATCATCCAATGATCCAGTTGATCTCAAACTGTGCAAGTGGATGTTTTGTCAGACAACCTAATCACTCACTCACTCCATTATTTCCTGGCTGCTATCATATGAATGGAACATTCATTTCTGTGTTAGTCATAAGACAAAAAGAAGATAAGAACTTTATGTGTAAGCTTTGTGACTGTTGGTTATAGACAAGAAGGTTGAAGAAACACCAATTAAAGATGGAGAGAAAGAGGAAAAGAAGAGTGAAGAGAAAATCTCTGCTGAAGAGACGAGTAAAGCAGCGAAGGATGCACCAGACGAAGCAGATGCAATGGCAGAGACTCTTATGTGCATCATTTGTCAGGAGCTCCTGCATGACTGCATCAGGTCAGTATCCACACACATCAAGAAGGATGATCCAGATGGCTGAGGTCACGCATTGTTTGAACATTTGCTTACATTATCAAGCACTGGTTTGTGTGATTCAGACCTATAATTTTAGTAATATTGATGTGAGTGAGTTTAGTTTTATGCCGCACTCAGCAATATTCCAGCTATATGGCGGCAGTCTGTAAGTAATTGTGTCTGGACCAGACAATCCAGTGATCAACAGCATGAGCATCGATTTATGCAATTGGAAACCGATGACATGTGTCAACCAAGTCAGCGAGTCTGACCACCCGATCCTTTTAGCCGCCTCTTACGACAATCATGGGTTACTGAAGATCAGTTCTCACCCGGATCTTCACGGGTGTATACTGATGTGAACATTACAGGCAATGCTATACATTGGTTCCAGGATAAACATGTCAGTGTCCAGTCAACAGTCAGTCTACATGTAGATGTATATGGAAAGTCTAAATAGTTGTACCACAACTAGATATGCAGTCCAAATTTTGGAAAAAAATTGGAAAAATTTTGGAAAAATTTGAGGCGATGGGTTAGCCTAGTGGTTAAAGTGTTAATGTTTGCACTTTCATCTTTACTCCATTAACATATCTATGTATCATTCATTTCATTTCTGCCATATGGCTTGTTGGTTTTAATGATGGAGGTCATCTGGTAGAGCTGATTCTTCACATGATATTGAAAACAGAAGACACACTGAAACCCAAACGAGTTTCCAAAGGGAGAGAATCATGGTCCCTCCCTTCCCTCCGTCCGAACATCTTTTGGAAATAGAAGCTTCCAAATCGTAGCTCCATGGCTCTGGAATGCTCTCCCTTTTGAATTACGATCTTCTCAGAACATAGAAACATTCAAATCACACCTGAAAACCTACCTCTTCACCTCATGTTACGCCTGAACTGCAAACTCTCCGTGTATATAGACTCACTGTTGTACATATTCCCCAGGACAATTCATTGCCCAAAAGCGCTTTTGAGCAGTTTAACAGAACTGGAAATAAGCGCTATAAAAATATATATTTATATTATATTTATATTATATTATATGGTATTTATTCTTCAAGTGACCTGTTACTGAGTGTATGTGTGTTTGGTTGCAGCCTCCAGCCGTGCATGCACTCCTTCTGTTCTGGATGCTACTCGGAGTGGATGGACAGATCCAACGAATGTCCTTCTGTGAGTACTTACCAGTCAGTGTTTCAAGTACACAGTAACTGAGGTCATTGGCTGTGACAAGACTGCAGCATTTGCAGTGTGGGTACAGCAGACCTGGGAGGTATTTTGTCTTTGAGCTCCATGTAGTAAATAGTTTGCCATGTGCACTCTGGAGAAGTTGAGTTCTTGACAAATGTGTCTAGATATGCATGGGCAGTGATTTACAATTCAGCCTAGTCAGAGCATGTTCATTTTTTGTTGAGCAATGTGTCTTCTAGTATCAGATCAATAAATTTTTAAAAGGGTCATTTGGCAAATCTCAGTCAAATTCGTTCTGTTGTTCCATAGATTGATTTGATTTATTTCTTTTAACGGGGTGAATTTCCTCTGGTGCGGTCAACTTAAGACGATCCATCGTTTGAGTTCTGGCTGGAGTTGCTGTTGTCGTTGCTGTTAGGACAGGTCACTGTGTACTTCTCCCCCTTTCTGTGGATTGTCTCACTCGACGTCCCAAAGGAAACCAACACAGTCACCTCGAACTTTTCGCTGTCTGTCAAGTTTCTAATCAGCTGCTTTACTTCCGAATTCTCAACTCAATCATAACATTCAAACCAGCATGTAAAATGTCTATATGTTGAAAATAGCATCAGCAGGTAGTTCAGAATGGAGAATGGCCCTCTGTTTTGTTGATACTTTGGCAAAACAACAATCAGTAATAGATCTGATTGGAATGAGATTGTGTTTGATTGACATTCACATGTCCATACCAGCTGCTGTGTTACAGATGTCATATGTTTCCATGTCTTGTGAAAGAATCTAGATAGGGACACTTACCAGAGATTGTTGATTACATTTCGTTAGATGAATCAGTTGAATACATGAGCTTAGTAATGATGCTTCTCCCAGAGCTACAGATAACTTTTTGAGTCATTGAGTTATGTACTCGCTTCTGTTCATCTCAGTTGGGTATCCTAATTTTCCTTTGAGTAACCAAATAAATTGTACTAGCCTCACTCAGGCTCAGTTGGGTATTTTGGCATTTTCCATTAATTTTAAAAATATAATAAAGTTTAAATGCTAGTGTTTGTTATTTATATTCGATCTGTAATATGAGAAACGCGAAGAAAGACTGCAAGTTGTCAAGTTCATGTCCTGATAAACAACCTCTTAAAACGTCAGTTATATTATCTAACCACCGGTACGCAAGCTATATAGGATTTGACATTTTTAGTGTACACATGTAAGATCTCATATATTGAGTATTTACAAAAATTCAAGCGTACTTTTATGCCATAGACTAAATAAGAATTGAGTTTTCACATAAATATTTGCGTAATTTACGCAGATACGCAGCTTATCTGTACCTCTGTTCTTCTTCCAGTGTCGGTTAAAGGTCGAGCGAATCAACAAGAATCACATCGTCAACAACTTGGTTGAAGCCTATTTGAAAGAACACCCAGGTACAGTTACAGCTTTGGAAATATGTCAAGAAAAGTCACGTTTTTCCATTTTTTTGACTGATGCTTGAGACTGATTGTTCCCAGACTAACATCTAATCTCTGAAAGGAACACATTTTCAGAAAAAAACAGTTTCTAAGTTATAGTCAAAAAATGTAATGAAAAGGAGCCCAGAGACTTTTTCATTTTTAGAAAGGTGACAGTCAAGACTGGCCACTTATTCTAGACTTGCATGGACTTTCTTGGCTGTATTGGTTTGAGGGTCAGTATGACAGACTAGGTCAATACCTGTCTTTGAAGTTTTATATTCATACACACCAGGTTTGTTTCTGAGTAATATTAGCTACCCAGGTATTTATGAAATCCTGACTTGACAAATAAAGAAAATGAGTTCATGTTTTTTCCACCAGAATGTTCTTTTTTGACAAATTTAGATCACATATACGGAAATCCCACAAGGGGAGTGAAAATATTTCCTTCTCTACTTTACCCCATGGAGTTTGGTCATAAAACTTGGCATCTACTTTATGATGTCACCTATTAAAACTGATCATGTACACATCAGAAAGGTGATGCATCGTAATGACAGCAGGGAACCAGTCAGGTAAACTGATGCAGCTAACAGGAAGGTACAGGTATTTTTGTACACGGTCAGTGTTCAATGTACAGATACATATGTTTTGTTTAATTGTTAGTAGTATGGTTACAGTTACTCTGTCTCACAGTTCCTGTGTTATTCTCCCTTCCACCAAGACCTTATTGCAGTGCTAAAACGCTAAATGAAGCAAGTCTAGATTTCCTCAGGTGAATCTCTTATCTCACTGGGTCTCCGTTTAATTTGAATGGAATAATTTGTTTCTGTCAGAATTAGATATATTCAAAGACAGAGTGTAAGTCTAGGTGAAAGTATTTGGATCTGCAATTAAGAATTGATTTTGATATTGTTTTGTGTTTATTGAACTCTGTTTTTATGTACAATACACACCAAGTTTTGCATTAATACCTCAGTAAATACGAATAATGTTGAGGGCAATTCTTAAAAATAAGCATGTCAATAATGATAACTGACTAGAAGTGAGTGAGTGAGCTGGGTTTTACTCCGCTTTTAGCAATATTCCAGTAATATCACAGCGGGGGACACCAGAAATGGGCAAACATTGATTAGGAAAGGTATCTTCACCTGCCATTATCTCCGTCCTTCAGAATTGGCAGTGGTGTTGCATAGCTGCTGAAATGTTCACTTAAAATTGTCACTCCAAATAGAGAAATGTGTTTGTTTCTCCACCTGTGAAGCACAATTCTAGTGACCCCTGCAGTCATGTGAGAAACTTTTGTCACTCACTACACCGCAGTAGTCTACACTCTTCTCTACTACATCACGCTCAAATCCACTCAGGACAGTCGAACGTCGTTGCAAGACACCATTAAATTTGTTACTTCAGATCGAAAGCAGAAGAAGACATCAAGGACCTTGATGCTAAAAACAAGATCACCAGGGACATGGTAAGTTGGTTAAACCCTGTCTCAGTGTCTTGCTGCTCGGAATACTGTGTAGATTAAACTACTCATATAGACTCAGGTTCCTAATATTATTATGCTGATATTTGTATAGCGAATATCCAGCCCAGCTGCTCAAAGGTGATTGTTTTTCCTTCTAACATTGGATGTCAACCTCAAACAGCACAATGTATTATCCATCTCAACTCCCTGGGGATCATACAACTCTTTATGCCACTAGCGCACCGAGTTAATGTGACTTTCTCATCCTTACCAGGTACCCATTCACAGCTGGGTGGACTGGGACACATAGTCACAGTACTTTGTCCAAGTTTACTGCACGTTGCTGTATCCACAACTAGATGTTTGCACGTATTCATGTGGCCATCATCTGGTCATATACCAACAGATTTGTGGGTTCTTTTAAGTGCACAGGATTGTGTACTGTAAACTAGGGGTTGTGACAACACTGAAAGAGTCTGCACACAAAATTGACTCCAAGGTTTTTACACCTGGTCACAGCTCGCTGGATCACTAGCCTGGCGCCTTAGACAGCTTGTCCACCACACCTAATTCTTGAAACAAGAATTTGTTTGTACTGCTCGTCTCCCATTGTTGACGAGAGGTATGATTACCTCAGCAGAATCGTTTAGGGACTGATTTACCAAACACCTGCCCTTCTTTTAAATAACATTGCCATTTCTTAAACAACACTATTGGTCAACAATGTTCCAGCTAGCCCAGAGTGCCTGTAAATATTCTAACCTCAACCATGCAAATCAGTGACCGATGTTATGAACACTAGTCTGAACACACTTATGATTCCCCTTATGACAAGCGTCGCTTTATGGGACCAAATTTCACCCCAATTCTCCACAAGGTCTGACAACTGAAAGTGGGAGGACATTAACTTTACATCAAACAGGTACTGTTTCAGTGACACACTCAATGGTACAAAGCTATTGTGAGTTGAATACCCTGGACAGTTTTTTTTTTGGTTTTTGTTTTTATTTCGCTTTTTATTCAGGTATACATACAAATTGACGTATATTATGTAAAAGTATAAGTTCAATGCAAACATGTAGGGTCTCAATAAATGATCAATAATACTTTAGTATAATTATGCAGTGTCAACATAGTTACATATACATCGAAATAATTTACGTATTTAACGGTTCTAATAGCATGTGTAGGCTAGACCATAGTTTTAGAAAGTAGGCTTTCTGGTCACCATTAATATATACATATTTTGTGGTATTATAATATTGTATGATTTGTCTCTTGATGTATGAAATATTTGGAATGAAACTTTTCTTACTACAGTTGTATATGGTATTCTTAACTAAAATAATTATCGCATTTAGTGCATAGTTATGTTTTCCTTTAAACCCAAACATTACCTGGGTATTTGTAAAACTCAATTTTATGTCTACAGTTCTGAGCCATAATACCCTGGACAGATGATATGATGACATCGCTCAGCAGTGTTGTAACAGACTTGTCCTGGCTTTATTGCAGTTATACCCCAAAACGAAACATCACAGGGATGAGGAGGAGTCTAGTGAATACTCGGATGAAGATGACAATGATGAATCAAGTCCTCCAATGGCCTTGTAAGTTTTACTCAAACACATACATGTAATCACGCAAGCACTCACTCATGCACTCATGCACACACATACACGTGCACACACAGTAGTGTTCCCAAAAGGGTGTATATGCACAGCACATATGCCCTCACACATAGTGCCCCACAGCAGTAGTGTTGCCCCAACTGGTGTATAGTTGTGCTCCCAAATGTAAGCATACTCATTAATGCCCTGACTGTTTAGTGATTAGTGCCCTGGCATGTGCCACACAGCATACTCATTCATGCCCCAACACTGTTTTCCCAGTGCCAACAAAGTAAGCACATGCCCTACAGCATACACCATATCATTTTACAATGTAAACATTTTTACACTATGACATTAGCACATGTAGGTGCCCCAGCAATGTCATTCGTCCAACAGCCCACTGCCCACAAAGTAAGAGACTGCCAGATATGAATTGTACTAAACTAAAACACACGATTATGTGAGAGTATGGACTCTATATTCTATATTCTATACTGGGCCACAAGGCTACTGCCTTCACATAATGGCAGACCCTCTGCCATTTCTGCTTGCCACAGGCCTAAGGTCCAGCGAATATGTTAATCCATCCTATGAGTTCCACTTTATGTTTTCAGACCGGTTCCTGCACCTGTAGCTGGTACTGTGTTTGGCTTAGGGAATCCATTCTTTGGAACAGCCAGGTATGTAGATTTATCTCCTGTACCCCTCGATACTGCATCACGGTAATGGCAACAGTGGCAACAGTGATAATTCCAGGGCCTGTCTTTTGTAAACCTGTTTGGCACCATCCTATATAATTCCAGGGCCTGTCTTTTGGTAAACCTACTCTAACCCCTAGATCCATTCCCTTAAATTATCCTCCCATGATTTTCATTAACATTTTGCTGGCCAATCAAACATCAAGAAAAGGAAAAGGAAATAATAAAGTGAGGATTTGCCATTGACTGTTTTAATTGACATGAAGGCATCCTTTCCATCAAAGAGATTTTTTAGGTGTTTCTTATGTGTGTCAGTCAGTTTTTTAATGCCAAATTCCTTGCAAACATAGTCATAATCAGCTGGACTGGTTGCCATGAGGGTGGTTTGTAACACCCGTTCTGATTTGAACATAGACCTTGTAGCTTAGCCAATCAAATTTGCTGAATGATATGACGGGCAGGGAGATCACAAGAGCAATGAGAATGGATCTGGGGTTAGTGCAGGTTTAATGAAATGTGAGCCCTTGAGACAGAGAGCTTGATTCTTTTATCCTCTATAACTTTTCTGTTTTCCAACTCTTTCATTGTCCCAAACAACATTGTTAAACATGGTGTTAGCTCATTCACTCGACTTCGATGATGATGATGATGATGATGATGATGATGATGATGATGATGATGATGATGATGATGATGATGATGATGATTGATTCAGACCACCTAAGACAGTGTGTCGACAGTGTGCTGAATACAAAGAACCAGCTGGAGGCACAGGACTTTTCGGAGGCATCCAAACAGGTCAGCTTCCACAAACATCTTTGCATCAAATGATGGCAGTTGGCACAGTTTAACTTTCTTCGGTTGTAGTGCTAAGATCATAGCTCCAACATTTCCATCTCCCATTTCCTGACTCAGACTTAGCTCTAAGGATGCTTCATGCATATGGGCGAAGACTAAAATGTGTTCATGTGGAGTGAGTGAGTTTAGTTTTACTCCGCACTCAGCAATATTCCACCTATATGGCAGCGGACTCTAAATAATCGAGTCTGGACCAGACTATAGTGATTAGCAGCATGAGCATTTATCTGGTATTCATCTGTAACTGTAAACACTCTGATTGTTTTCTATCTTGAGACAGCAGCTCAGTGCCTTGGGCCTCAATAAGTGACAAAGTAATGGTGTATACAAATTAGATGCAGTTTGAAATTTTCTCGTCACTACCAGCATCAAACTAAAATTAGATGTAATCATGGTGAAAATTCAGATCCTGCTCAATTTTTAGAACATGTGGTCACTGCGCAAACATATTTTTCATTCTTGTCATGATTTTCAATATTTTGCAACAATTTTATGTAGGTTTCTTTGCTTGTTCGGTCATCCTTTATATCTAATTTTTTGCACAAACTTGATTCACAATCTGAGCTGATTACCCTCTTGGATGGCATTTGCAGCGATAACCACTGTCAAGAATGTTGTCACCGGGGCAGCAGGGGGCGCCACAGCAGGGGGAGATAACCCTGGCCCATCAGGGGCAACTGCTGCTGCAACTGATGGTGGTAGGTTCCGGGAACTCGGAATTAGTTAATTATGACAAGGGTCACAGCTTTGCCAGTTAGCTAGTATCTTGAAAAGGCCTTAACTATATCTCAACAATATCTCAACAAGGAAGGATAACAATATATGGATGAACAATTTCTTTATTGCTGTGAGAGCGACGTTTCGGTGTAGATTCTAACACCGTTATCAAGCATGTGATAATGGTGTTAGAACCTACACTGAAACGGCACTCTCATAGCAGTAAAGGAGTTGTTCATCCAAATATTGTTATCCTTCCTTACTGCCCCAACTTCTAAATGCCTCTCAAAGAAGAAAAAAAATATCTAAACAATATTTCAAAGCGTGAGTGCGTGCGTGTTTATTTTGATGAATTAACAGCCACTGTTATATAGCTGGAACATTCCTGACTTGGCATGCAACAGTTTTTACTCACTCTCAAAATTTTAAGTTTAAATATGAAGCCTCCCATGACAACAAGTTTTACACCTTCTGCAGCAGGACCGTCAACGGGAGAGGATGGGGATGGGACCGAACCAGACGTGAAGGTGATGCCGACTCCCCCGCAGTTCAACTGTGCTGTCAATCAGAACCACATCCTGTGTGCCTGCTGTGTACAGCCGATGCCAGACCGCCGCGCGGAGAGAGTTCACAATCCAGCTATCCCGGCACAACAGTGTATGTGACTTTACTCTGTATCCTAAACTGTGTCAGGAATATGGTTTCCAGACAGAATACTATTCACCACTACTGATGGATATAGTCTAATAAATATGAGCATCTTTACTTCTGGAGGGACGGTGGGGTAGCCTAGTGGTTAAAGCGTTCACTTATGATGCCGAAGACCCAGGTTTGATAGCCACATTGGTACAATATGTGAAGCCCATCACTGATGTCTCCAGCTGTGATATTGCAGGAATATTGCTCACTCACTCTTTACCTCTGGAAGTCAATAGCATTGTGCCCAATTCCTGTCTAGGTCTAAGGATAGGTAACATGGACACAAATTCCTGTGTTTCAAAACCTAATTTGGACTTGAGTACCTGGGCCCCATTTCACAAAGCTATCATAGCACTACGACTGTCGTAAGTCTATGTTACAGTATAGGAGGTGTGACAATCGTAGCGCTACGACTGTGGTAAGTCTATGTTACAGTATAGGAGGTATGACAATCGTAGCGCTACGACTGTCGTAAGAATATGTTACAGTATAGGAGGTATGACAATCGTAGCGCTAAGACAATAGCGCTACGACTGTGGTAAGTCTATGTTACAGTATAGGAGGTATGACAATTGTAGCACTATGAAGCTTTGTGAAACGGGGACCAGATTCAGATGGTAGTCCTATGCCACAATATAAACATCAACCCAGTTAAAATGCTTTCAATCACCGAACACCTGATACATACATGAGGTGAATGTATAAACCTAGCACCTGGATCATGGGTTGGCTTCTCTCCAGAAGTTATGAACACAACTGAAATGGATACCTACTGCATTACAAGTCTTGTTGATATCCAAAACACTGACATTACTTCCTGACAAACGGTTGACTTTTCAAAACTGCAGTCTTGATAAAAGTCGGCAGACTCAAATAGTAATCAATAAATGTTTCCAAAATATAAAATGCTTTGACTTTCTCTCTTTGTTTATATCTTGTCCCCATTGATTGACAATATTCCCTTGCTCCATGAAAGATGCTGCTCTCAAATTGTCTGTTCCTTATATGCAAATTGTGCACAATCCAGAGGCCCTTATGAGGTTTTCATAGTTATAGTTTTATGTATATTCTCATTGTTAACCATTTTCCTTATCCTGACTCATGCTCTTTTGCTTGTCTTCTTCTTCTTGCGAACATAGTGGAACACTTGTATCTCCTTATTTGAAGCTCCTTCAAAATAAAATCACTAATTGGTACTCACCACGAGTTGCTCCCCTTTGCTTCCCCTGGCGGAAGGTGTCGCCACCCTCTGGCCATGTGCTTCACTCTCTCCTTCTTAAGCCCAGTGAGCAGGATGTGAGGCGCCTTGTGTCTCCTTACACACCATATCCTTTGATAATCTCTTAGTTTTACCTCTCATAGGTTACTATAGAGGTATAGCTAGTATCCTTTACTATTTGTATTGATTAATTATCATTATTTCTACTGTTTATTCCGTGTATTAAGTGATTGTTCAGCTAACTTCGTTGATGAAAATCTATGCGATTTGTAGATTACGTTTTTCTGCCTCCGATCCACATGTAATATGCCCTAGTTGTTCTCGCCGTGTCGCGTTTAATTCGCGTTGCAGTTACTGCATTAATTTATCTCATTCTGCATTTAATAAATATCATCTTTGCGTCTTAAGGCGTGCTGCAGATAGATCACGCAAACAAAGGGCAAAACATGGCAGAGAGTCCAGATATTCCATCCAGTCAGCTGCTAGCGATCGACCCTCTCCGTCTGGTGTTCTGCTAGAGACCCCTGCGGCAGAGGAGCGTGGGGCGCATGATCCGTTACCTCGAAGAAGCGACCGGCCTCCCCAGACATCCCGTCATTGCAGACCAAGTCTAAGAGGGCCTCATCGTCGTCTCAGCGCAGATTGAGGACACCCAGGGCAGCGCAGACTTCCAAAGGGAAATCTCACGAAGACAGCAAGAACTTTCTCTCAGCCGAGATCGTTCCAGCAGCAGAATTGGGCCTCTCGATGATCAGCCGATAATCATCCCGACTTACGGCAGAAGAAGCGACCCGGTGTCAGCGACTGTGACTTCTGCAGAGATCACCATGCAGCCTGATGCCTCTACACCCGGCGTCAGGCGTCATTGATGTGAACCCCATCGCAGAAAAGGCGCCCGGCGACCGTCTGAATCATCCCAGAAGACATGATGCGGCAGATTATGAACATCATGGAGGACCACTACAAACTGCGCCAAGCGAAGGGTCCGAGCCAGCGAAGGCTCCAAGCGTGAACAACACCCAGAGGCACCCCGTCAGCGTAGCAGCCAAGGCGATGTCACCTTAGCGAAGGAAGTCCGCACCACCTTGGCGAAGGACCTAGATGTACAGCCCGAAGGCTTAGCCAGCGAGCGGCGGGAGAGATCATCACCATCTTCGATTTCATCTCTAGATATGGACTCAGACCATCAGACATCACGGAAGCCTTAGGCGAAGGTCATATCATCGATCCCCGGACCGGACGCAAATGAAGCGAAGGCATTAGCGAAGGACATATGATTCAGATCTTCATCATCTAGAAGAACATCGAGGGACTGCCGAAGAGCCCGGCGAAGCTATCAACATTCACCTCACAAGTCTCGAGAAGATCATCCCATAGGCGATCTCCCGCCGTTCATCACCAGGTCGATCACCGTCAGATCTCCACATAGAAGCGGCGCACAAGTCAACTAGATCGCCACAAACCTCATCAGATATACAGACAGCTACGCGGTCGAAGAGCATCTACAATTTGTTAATGATGATGGTTTTGAGGATGATGGAGGAATCATATTTTCTGATGCAGAATCACGGTATTGGATGGTCAATAACCTAGATCTCACATCACCATCTAAAAGTGGCAATACAAGCGCAGGCGTATTTGATGAAGGAAGATGATCCAGATGCAATCACTCTACCCCGATCGACCCGATTGCGGCAGTGCCACAGAATCTAGATGCAGCTTTCCAGAAAGCTCACGAAAGTTCAGATACCACATCTGCCCAACTTTCAAGCCAAGAAGTTCTCCGCATAACATGGACTCCTTCTACAAGGCCCAGGACATCGATGAGAACTATAAGATCATCAGCGATGTAAAGAACAAGATTTACAAGATGGATGATCGCCAAGTTGGCTCATATAGAAACCATGGCGAGGCGTATGTTCTTTGGGTTAAATAGATCTGGGGCGATCAATGAGACTCTTATTACTAGATTCGGGATTCCACGACGGAAGATGATAGAATGATTTATTCTGCCTTACTTATGCAAAGAAAGATCAGCAGTTTTTAGCGGATCATCTTACATCTGTTTCAGCAGCACTGACCTTAGCTTCGTCGTCAAGGCCTCCTCGCCTCCTGTAATGGGGGAGAACTTTACAGCCCACTTTATACAGCCCGTGGTCGACAACATCCATCTTTGGCGGAGAAATCGACAAAGTAAGCCAAGGAAGTCTCTAAGGATTCCAGGGAAGTCCTTATGATTAGATCGATGGACACACTAGCCAGCGTCATTCGTCAGACTTCACAAAGATACTCAGGCAGATCTAAGTTCACGGGCCTACAAAGAGCAAGAGACAGGAAGATAGCCAGCTCTAGAGGTAAAGATTCTTTTAAATTAAGCCCATATGGCAACTATAGAGGAGGATCAGGAAGAGGCAGGACACCCAGAGGTTCCGCAATTATAGGCAGCTGAAACACAGGTTCGGAGCGACTGGAGTCTTCCACCCCAGCCGTTCCAGTACAGCCAGCTCAAGTGGGTGGGCGCCTCCAACTACACTGGGAAAACTGGGGAATATTGCAAGACCCTTCGTCTCCAACATTCTTCAACAGTTTCGTATCCCTCTACAGGCCAAGCCTCGCTGACAATCAAACCCCCAAGTTCGATTTACAAAGCGCAACAACTACCAAAGATAAAGAGGCTGTTTCATCACTCCTATCCAAACAGGCCATAGAAGTAATAGATCAAGCAAGCGTCGAACCAGGTTTCTACTCCCCAGTTTTCCTAGTTCCCAAGAAAAACTCCGCGGAGAAATACAGACTCATCTACAACATGAGCTTTTCAACAAGAACTATCTCGCCAAACCACGAAGTTTAGCATGATACATTTACCTCAGATTCGCCAGATGATTCGTCCTATGGACTACATGGGCAGCATAGATCTACAGGATGCCTACCTGCATCCCCATTCATCCCGATTCCAGGAAATACCTACGATTTACTCTAGAAGGGCTACATTACCAGTGGAAAGTACTCCCATTGAGGAATATCATCAGCCCCTGGCTATTCACGAGGATAGCGAAACCGATTATCAAATTTCTACATCGTCAAAGGGGCTACGCGAGTCGCGTTTTACCTCGACGGACGGGATACAAGTAGATCAAGATCCACTGCGTCTCAAACTACAGTTAAATTACATCATAAAGCTACTAACACAACTAGGTTGGTTAGTAAACTTACATAAGTCGGACCTAGTACCATCGCCAAGACCTGCAGTTCCTAGGTATTCGATTCATCACAAATCGCAACCGTATTTTGGTACCAGAAGACCGTTGGCTCAAGATACAGCAGACCATTCCACCAGCTCTACTCTCTCCGTTACCACTGCGACAATGGCAGAGCCTACTAGGTCTTCTCACATCAGCCCAAGACATGACTGTCACAGGCAGATTACAGTTCGTCCCCTACAGGTCCTCATCAGCGCACATCTCAGCGATGTACAACCATTCAGTCTACCGAAACATCTCAGACCGCATCTACTATGGTGGACCAAGAAATCGAATGTCTGCGAAGGGATTTGTTTAGCAGAGCAGGAATACAAAACCCATCTGTATGTAGGCAGCGTCACTCCAAGGTTGGGGAGCTCATCTCACCAACCGCGATATCAGGGTTATGGAATCAGCAAGAATGCAAACTCCATATAAACAGTCTAGAAATGAAAGCTGTAATCAGCGCCATTCTACATTGGAGCACATTTCTACAAAATGCTTGGCGCCTAATGATCCATACAGACAATTCGACAGTGGCGTTCTACATAAACAAGCAAGGCTCAGCGAGATCGATGAACCTTTTGAACCTAAGCTTTCAACTGTTGATTTAATACAAGATCTAAATCTACATGTCAGAGCAGTGCACATTCCGGAGCCAGAAATATACTAGCAGGCGGCTCTCTCTCGGCCTCATCTACCATCACCGACAGAGTGGATGATCAACAGGGAAATTTTTGCACAGATAATCAAGCAATTAGGGGCCGCTAATAGACCTATTAAGCCGCAGCGATTCAACAATCAGCTACCGACATTCGTGTCACCAGTCCCAGACCCCCAAGCTTGGGCAGCGGGCGGCTCTAAGTCTATCATGGGAAGGCCTCAATGCGTGCAGCGTTTCGCCGCCAGCAATAATACCTCAAGTATTACAGAAAATCAGACAAACACAGAGCCTACAACTCACTTTGGTGGCCCTACTGGCCGGCCAGAGCGTGGTTTCCCATACTAATTCAAGAAATCGGTCAACCAACACTGGAGCTACCCAAAGCGGCGCAAACCTGTTAATTCATCCTCACACCAAACAAGTGCGGAAACCCAGCAATGTTCCAACTACTGCATTATGGACTGTATACAAATGTGTTTAAACAAGAGAGGATATTCTGCCAGGCGGCAAAAGCAGTCCGCGCGCGCTTACGTTACTCAACTTCGTGGCAATGCGGCGACAAGTGGCACAGTTTGAAAATTATGCAACAAAGAAAGGGTTTACAGCAGAGAGGCTTCACAACCTCAAGTGGCAGACTATTTGTGTTACCTCGCCAAAACAAACATTTAAAAGGTTCAGCGATATCAACATATCTTGCAGCTTAGTTCTGTAATCACCATGAGAGCGGGTGTCAAATTGACAAGATCTCCAGAGTTACTGGCCTTACTCACGAGCTTTCGATTGGAGGACCAAAGCGGAAGTTCCGCCCAGCTTGGGATCTGAATGTAGTGTTACAACACCTCACGAGTGAGGTCTATGAACCTTTGGAATCGACAAACTTTGAATTTCTCTCACAGAAAACACTGTTTCTGCTATAAGCTAGCCACAGCAGCAAGAATGTCTGAAATTCGCGCTCTGGATTACGAGAGGATACAGTTTGATGACAATCATAACACAGCACCTCGGATTAAGATGGGATTTCATCATAAAAATCAACTGCCAGGTCAACCAGACAGATTATTCCACATCCCGGCTATCCTCTATTCTCGGATCAGAAGATACACAAGACCTATCACTGTGTCGGTAAAGGCTCAAAGTTTATTCTGACGATCCAAAACAAGGAGAAGATTTCTCAAGCGTTTATTCATCCCCTTATAAGCCTCACGAATCAAACAGAAGTGTCACGGACTACAATATCTATTTGGATAAGGACTGTCATTCTCCGTGCCTACAAGGCAGCAGGCTTGGACCCACCAACAGCATCAAATCCACATGAGATCAGGGCACTGGCCTCTACCCTCGCCCCTACGGTAACTGTTCCTTGAACACGATTATGGAAGGATGCTATTGGAAATCTAACATGGTATTTGCTAATCACTACCTGAGAGACATCACTACAGAAGATGTCTCTGGCATTCACCATTCCGGACCACTGGTCCTCGCTCAGCAACTGACAGTCCCTCGTGGCGTTAAAATATTATCCTCACAAGATTAATATGTATTTTATACATACTCATCTAGCTTATAACTCTCTGAGGGTTTTAGGGCTATGTATATATGTTCAGCTTAAGTATTCAACCTTAAGCATATACTTTGGTATAGTCAATTTCAGTGCCTCTATCAGAGTCACCTATATATATATATATAATTTATATGTATTGTTCAATATATTCATAATGTAATTCCCCTTTAATGGCTTTATATAACCTATGGTTTTCTTTATACAGGAAACATCCTAAATCTAAGCCTTCATGAAGTTCCGTAGGGAATATTACAGTATATCTATACAAAATCACTAATTATAAATCCAAAGTATTCTGTTACCCACCTCCGTTCCGTAGGATGCTACAAACAAAGAGCATGAGTCAGGATAAGGAAAAATATGTAATTTTAGAGTAAAATTGATATTTTATACTTATCCTGACTCATGAGGTTAACTCCCTCCCATCCTCCCACATAACACTTTGGATTTCCCTGTAAATTCAAGTGTTGGGCTCGCTAAATCAGGAGAGAGTGGAGCACATGGCCAGAGGGTGGCGACACCTTTCCCGCCAGGGGAAGCAAAGGGGAGCAACTCGTGGTGAGTACCAATTAGTGATTTTATTTTGAAGGGAGCTTCAAATAAGGAGATACAAGTGTTCCACTATGTTCGCAAGAAGAAGAAGACAAGCAAAAGAGCATGAGTCAGGATAAGTATAAAATATCAATTTTACTCTAAAAATTACATGTTTGTTGTAAGTGTATTTTGAAATTGATGGATGGATGGGATGAATTATTATCTGACATGTGGGTGACTAAATTCACATTGACATGATAAAATAGTCCCATTGCTGTATTCTGACATATACCAGTGTATGGAACTCCCCCAAATTTGTACCAGATCACAGGGCTGATAACTTTTAAGACCTACCAGCAACTTTGAAAACCAACCAGTCCTATCAACATTGTCTAAAAGAATTCTTTAATTAAATACAACAGAGGAAAAGGTATGTTTCTTTAGCTTTAGTAAACTCAGTTTACCAGTAATTTGTTACTACAGAGAAGTGTGGATGAGACGAAACACTAATTATCATCCTCAATACTGTGTTATGGGAAAATTGTTTTAAATGATGATAGATTCAATATAAATTTGTATGATGAATGATTATGATCAACTCATTCACTTACTTTCTCAAGAATTGTCTGTGGCATAGGGATTCTGGATAAAAAAAGGGCCAAGAAACTTATAGTGGCTATTTGAGGTGGCTTAATGGATCAGGTGGTCAGACTGCCTAACTTACTAGATTGCACGATGTACCTCAACAAAATGGGACAATGCTTATGATATCAATCACTGGTTTGTCTGGTCCGGACTGGATTATTGGAGAGATGCCATCATAGAACTGGAGTGCACTAAACAGCAACAACCAAAACATGTGGGGGAGCTGGCAAAGGCGCCAGGCTAGTGATCCAGTGGGCTTGAGGTGTCAGGATCGATCCCACCTGTGACCGGGTGTAAAAACCTTGGCGTCAACTTTGTGTGCAGACTCTTACAGTGTTGTCACAACCCCTAGTGTACAGTACACAACCCTGTGCACTTAAAAGAAACCAGGAATCCATTGGTATATGACCAGATGGTGGCCACGTGCAAACACCTAGTTCCGGGTACAGCAACATGCAGTGAACTTGGACAAAGTACTGTGACTATGTGTCACAGTCCACCCAGCTGTGAATAGGTACCTCGTAAGTGTAGGAAAGCCACATTAACTTGGTGCGCCTAGTAGCCACAAGAGTGGTATGATCCCAGGGGAGTTGAGATTGATAATACGATGTGCCGTTGAGATTGACATCGAGTGATGATCGAGGGAAAATATACCAGCGCTTTGAGCATGCACAAGTTGTGTGGATATGTGCACTATATAAATATTCTATAATAATTACCCCCAAAACAAACACATCTGGTTTGTTATGAAGTGTATATGTATTGGTTTCACAGATATGAACTTTGGGAAGAAGTGTCTGACAAACCTCATCCTTGACAACACATCAGAGTCAACAATATTCAAGGTAGGATAATGTTGGTCTCCGCAAAACATGTCTACATTAATGAATGTTATAACTGCACCTAGACACCGTTGGCAGGAAACAGTTGATGAATGACTGGTATTTAAAGGTGTGTAGTTCTTGTGTGAAGACCGGCAGCAGCAGATGATTAAATGTCCGTGAACTGTGTTACTAATGTCTTTCAGCTTCAGTATTTATGTCTCCCCCCAAAGGGACGGGAGACATATTGTTTTTGGCTGAGTTTCCGTCGGCTTCGGCATTTTCCACTGTTTCCAGAACATTACTCTAAACTACTTCAACAATCTTCACCAAATTTGATATACTGCCTTTCCATATCATGTAGATGTGCCGTTGGGGGTTTGTGTGTTTTTTTCAATTTTATTTTTTTTCTGTTTTCATGGTAACAATTTGGACTCTGTCTTTTTGAAGGGTAAAGTTTGTTTCCAGAGCAGAATTCTGAAACTATTTGACCCATCTTCCCCAAATTTGGTATACTGCCTCTCCATATCATGTAGATGTGGCTTTTGGGGGTTTGAACTATTCTTTAAATCTTTTTCTGTTTCAATGGCAACAGTGTTCGGAGCTTGACTCTAAAACCACTTCACCCATCTTCACTAAATTTTGTATACTTAATACCAATACCAATTATTAGTAAGCTTAGAAGCATCAACAATATACATGTACTATAAAACATAAATAATATGTATTTTCATACATTTTCATACTATTTTGAAGTTGACGGAATCAAGTGAATTATTGAGGTTTCAATGTTGAATTGGGGGAAGGGGGAGACATCTGTTTTTACGAGTAAAAACACTTTCTAGTTCAGAAGTGTAGCACACTCAAAAAAAGGGATGAATCGGGACTATTACTAGTGCATGCTTACACACACATGCACGCACACACACACACAGAAAGAGAGAGACACACAAACTTGTGCACACACAGATACATACATATACACATGCACACACACACTGTATAAGCTTGTTTAATCATCTTCAGTGCAATATTTAACCCTATGTCACCTCACCTCACCTCACCCCCACACCTCACCTCACCTCACCACACCTCAACTCAACTCAACTCAACTCACCCCAACACCTCACCTCACCTCACCTCACCTCACCCCCACCCCACCCCACCCCACCACATCTCATCTCACCACAGCACACCACACCTCAGCTCAGCTCAGCTCAGCTCAGCTCAGCACCGCACACCACCACACCACCACTCCACACCACCATTCCACACCACACCACACCACACCACACCACACCTCACCACACCACACCACACCACACCACACCACACCACACCACACCACACCACACCACACTGACATATTCCATTACACCTAGGTTAGATGAAAGATGACGTCCTCTGTTAGAAACCCCTAATATACTATGTGTTTGTTTCTACAGGACTATTTAGAAGCCAACAACATCTCAGTTCGAGATGTTTTGAAAGACAGCTTAGCCAAACTTGAGGCAGGACAATACAAATGTTTTGGTAAGTTGGAAAGTAATACAAGTGGTTTGCTACACAGACAGACCGAAGTAATCACAATTCTTCTTCTTTACGATGAAAGTGTAATCCCAAATATGACATATGTTACATTTGACCACTTTCTAAAATGGCATTGTGTATTTCACACAATTCTTCAGTTCTTGACAAAATCATGTTTCCAGACTTTATGCATCTTATGAAGACATTACTGATGGGATTTAATAATTTCCACTGAGAAAGTAGTGTTCAGAGCAATTTGTTTTGTTATTATCTCCCCATGGGGATTTCAGAAAAGAGTAGCTCCCAACCACCCCATGCTTTTCATACAAGCCATATATGTGCCCTTGAATTACCAGCAGTGTATGAAATAACGCCCGTCCGACCGCCCGAGACGGGCTAGATTTCTGACGGAAGGTCTAAATTTACAGCTGGCTGTTCCATACATCTGAGTAATATCTTCTAATCTATTTTCTGAAAATGAATGTTATGAATAGACTGTTAGTAAATATATTGCATGTATCAGGTTCTTTAAATTATTCATTGTAACTAAAAACTTAGTTATTTTCTTTGGATTGTCTGGTCTTGTTAAATCCATTTTGGGCAGGTGACATTTTGAAGTTACTAGCCCTGATGTCTGGCTGGGTTTTTGGCTTATTTCATACACAGATTACCAGTTGAGAGCCACCCGTGAAGATCCGGGGTAGAATAGGTCTTCAGCAACCCATGTGCTTGCCACAAAAGGCGACTATGCTTGTCGTAAGAGGCGACTAACAGGATCGGGTGGTCAGTTTCGCTGACTTGGTTGACACATGCCATCGGTTCCCAATTGCGCAGATCGATGCTCATGCTGTTGATCACTGGATTGTCTGGTCCAGACTCGATTATTTACAGACCGCCACCATATAGCTGGGATATTGCGGAGTGCGGCGTAAAACTAAAAGAGAGAGTTGTGAGCCCTTGTGCCCTCATGTATTTTAGTAAATGATTCACCTATAGTTTGTGTGTCCAAGTCCAGATTAGTTTCAGGCTTGCTGGCAGTCTCTGTTTTACCAATACTTTTCACTGTTTGTGAACAATATGTTTAGATCATGGCTGGAATATTGCTTCAGTGAGCACTATTTGATTGTGAGCCAACATGGCTAATAGATCAAAGGCTTAGTATTTGTTCTAAAGGAGATGAAGAAAACTTGCTACTATCTTTTGGCAGGATTTGTTTGGGGGGTAAAATCTGACACTTCTTGTTAGTAATTTCATTGGTCAATCAAATTTCACGAACATTTTATAAAAGAACTTGAAGGTAATACAGTAGTGTAACTTTCCTTTCTTCAAACAAGGTGTGGTATAATTCTTACCGGTTTATTAATGCAGCTTGCCAGTGTTTACAGCTGAGTTTTCAATACAGTTCATAATGTGCTCGAGGGAAGGGGAGGTAACTCTATTATAGTACTTTGCGTTAGAGATAGATATAAAAAAGACAAAAGGCTGTGTAGCATTTTTCAAACAAATAGAATTTCATACAGTCGTTCTGACTTGACCCGTAATGGAATGTCCTGAGTTCTTGTTTAGCAGTAGCCTAATGTTAATGTAGAAGGACAACAATACGTGGATTCACAATACTTTATTAAAGTGAGAGCTTATAGCAGTGTATGAAATAAGGCCCGTCCGACAGCCCGAGACGAACTAGGTTTCTGACGGACGGTCTAAATTTACAGCTAGCCAGCCCGACGGTCTGGTGCAAATTTTAGATGTTCCATACATCTGAGTAAATTCTTGGTGTCTGGTCTGGTTAAATCCAATTTGGGCTGGTAACATTTTGAAGTTACCAGCCCTGATGTCTGGCTGGGTTTTTGGCTTATTTCATACACTGCTTATAGCGACATTTTGGTGTAGGCTGCTTGATGACGATGTTAGAACCTACACCAGAACACCACTCTCAGCTCTCACTGAAATAAAGAAGTTGTTCATCCATATTTTGCGATCCTTCCTTACTGATCCCAACTTCTAAATGCCTCTCAAAGAAGTTCTAATGTAAAGACCCGTGAAGACCCGGGTTCGTTTGAACCTTCAGTATCCCATGCTTGTCGTAAGAGGCGACTAACAGGATCGGGTGGTCAGGCTTGCTGACTTGGTTGACACATGTCATCGGTTCCCAATTGCGCAGGTCTATGCTCATGATGTTGATCAGTGGATTGTCTGGTCCAGACTCGATTATTTACAGACCACTGCCATATAGATGGAATATTGCGGAGTGCAGCGCAAAACTAAACTCACTCACTCACCCTAATGTAAATGAAACTCGGGTCACCAATGCCTATGAGTATTCTTGTACAGTAGGCTCATATAATTATACAATCTGAATGTTCCTACTTTACGATTTCATTGTGTATACAACTGGTAATGATATGTTAGGATCTTACTAATTGCTTGAAGCTACACAAGGTATGCCTAATGGTCACCGCTGTGTGTTCTGTTCAGGGGAAGATGGACAAATATCCTTTCTATTTTTGTGTTTTTCAGATCAAATGAGGGGAGCTGTGAATGGTGAGACATATTTCTGCTACATGTGTGGAATGCGGAACTTCAAAGACCTCGCCTACCAATATCGGAAGGATATACCAAAAGAAAAACTGCCAGGTGTGCAAGGCTAATGAATACATGCTCCGATTGATTACTATGTTTTATTGAGGTTTAGTCACTGAATTATTTTGTTTTGTTTAAGTTTTTTTGTTTTTGTTTATTTGTTTAATTAGGAGATAATCCTATTATGTTTACATTTTGGAAGTGATTATAGTTGAACACTGCTAAATGTCATTTAAAACCGAACGCGTATGCACTCATTACCCTTGCATAGTGTTTTGACACTACTGCGGATAGAGCCTTCTAAATGGTTTCGCCCATACTCGGGGTGAAACAGGAAAAAGAAATAATTTACATAGTGTCAAATATTTTAATTATTTCCACACTGAAGTTTTCTTCAAATACATTGCAAGTTGCAACATCTGTACTGGCATTCTACTTCTTATGTTATGGACAGCTTTATTGGAATGAGTTATGTAATAAGGAACACCCCTCTAACTTCAAAAATAGATTTGTCTGGTTTGACCTTCGTTCTGACGTCATTGGCGCGTGCCATTTTCGAAACGTGACTGTCCTGGATGCGTGTCAGTGCTTTGCTTAGTTCCGAAAGTAGTTATTTATGACAACCTGACTGTTGTCAATTTTGAAAAGACCAGACATCGAAGACGAAGAAGCAGTGATTGTGTGATTCGACTTACATACTAGGCTGGGTCAATATTTTCATCCATATCCGATCCAAACACATCAAAGAAATCGCCGAGGTCAAACGTTACAGTTTCAGACGACATGTTTGTTTGCCTTTGTAAGGGTTAATGAGTGCAAAATATTCCTCGCAAGAGTGAACCGGGTTATTCAGAAGTGGTTATTGAACAATTTTCACTTCTAATTTTTTAGTAACAGCCAATCAAAAACGAACATACTTAAATGTCATCGAAGAATGCTATAATATTCCAGCAGTATTCCAGATGTATGACTGTGGTCTGTAAATGATAATAGTTATTTACATCTGGAGCATCAGACCAAGTAACTGGGATACATTCACATCTGTAGCAGCCATAACATCACGGTGTCCAGGTATGGGATTCGAACCACTGATCGTCTGATCTAAAGTCCCACCGACATATAGCTGGAATATTGCTGAGTGCGGCATAAAACTAAACTCACTCACTCACTGATCTGAGGTCACATGGCTTGTCCACATGACCAAAGAGATTAATCCCGACATCAAGCTGATAAAGTAAGGGTGTCATCTATTTCCATACAGAGACTGATTTACTCAAATATGACATATATGTTATATTAAAGATAAAAGAGAAGTGGATGGATGGATAATTGCTGACTGTAACATTTAACAACATACATGGACTTGCCCACCAATCAAAATAAATTATTATTTCAGAGGAAGTCCGTAGACGATCTGATTGTTACTGGGGAAAGAACTGTCGAACACAGCGCAACAAGCCACATCACGCAGCGTATGTACATCTGAATATTGTCCATATCTCCGTAACTTGTTTGAGTGGCATTTAGAAGTTGGTGTGATGAACAACAAGGAGAGTTCTATGGATATACAACTTCTTTAATATAATATGAGCAACGTTCTGGTGTAGCTACTAACACCGTTATCAAGCAAATGATGTACAATGCTAGAAGCAAAGGTATATATATATACATAGTAAAGTTGAACAGTAAGTGATTGGTGTTTGCACAATTAATGAGGTTGATGTACAAGGTTGGAGGATGTTGATACAAGAAGGCAATTGTTACACAAACAGAGTAAGCTATGGGGGATTATTGGGAGGAAGCCAGTGATATGACAGACAGGAGAATAATGGAATTAAGATTGCTTGGTGATGAGTTGGTTGTAGGCAGTGGGGATGTAATATCCTTGGTCTCTGTTCATGGCCGGTTGTAGTCTCTTGATGTGAATGGCTTCTAGTAGCTTTCTGATCTTGTAGTGGGTGTGATTACTGGTGAGTACATTGATGCTGTTCCATAGGATGTTGTGGTCTGGGTGAGCTTGGGTGTGGTCAGAGATGGCGGATTTGGAGTCTTTCTTCTTCACAGAGGATTGATGTTCTTTGATTCTTACAGGGAGGGGTCTTGAGGTTTCACCGATGTACGAGTCTCCACAGTCACACTTTATGTGGTAAACTGTGCCTGAAGGGTCTTCTTTAGTTGTGGGGGTTGGTCTGCCATTGGCTTTTAGGATGTTCTGTATAGTAGTACCTCTCTGGAACACAACATCAATGTTGACTTGGTGTTTTAAGAGTTGGCTGATCTGGTGGCTGGCTGAACCTATATAGGGCAGGCTTATGATGAACAGAGCTGTATGTTGGCATGGGGGCTTGTCTATTGGGTTGAGGGTGGCGTTGATGGTGCGGTCTACAAGGCTGGCAGGGTAGTTGTTGTAGGTCTAAAGACATGGCGAAGATGTTGAAGTTCAGCTTCCATTTGTTTGTGTAACAATTGCCTTCTTGTGTAAACATCCTGTTGTAGCATTGTGCTATTTTCACGCTTCACACTGAGAGGTGACAAACGGCTGGTGGAACAGCACCAGCACACATTCAGGTGTAACTCAGCACAGCCAGGTGAGATGCCCCAAGCTACTCAGTATGCTCTTCCATCAGCCGTTTGTCACCCCCCAGTGTAAAGCGTGAAAATAGCACAATATTACATGATAGTTTCTTGAACACTTTTTCCGCTATCGATCATAAATGTCAGATTTCAGATCCTGTTGGGTACAGAGGTTTCAAGATCAGTGACTTCTTATATTTTTTTCTCATCATAACCTGCATTCTCTTCCCACAGAGGTTACTCAAGTCATATCTTCCCACATACCTCTGTCCATATTTCCCGGCTCTCGTAAAAATAACAGCGGCAAAAAATTACAACACAAATTATCTCCCTCCTTTCTATGCAATCAGAACACGTGTTACATTGACTTAGATCCAATATGGCGGCTTTCATGGAGTTAGTTGATCAATATGCGAAGGACAGATTCGGTATTTCATGTTTAACTGACAATCAGAAACTAGCAATAGAGAGTGGAGGAATCAATCAGCAAGATGTTTTTGAAGATGTAACACACAAGACATTTAATGGCTAGCGTGTCCATTGGCAATGACGGCGATGGAGACGCCATTGATCTGCCATTACATGACTGAGTTCTGTCTAGAAGAAACGATTGAGCATCTCGCAGGGGATGAGGTTCTAGTTTTCCCTAAGCATAAGGGACTTACCGAGGCTTGGCGATTGATCACTTATGAAACAACATCGCCGATTGCACAACTAAATCTGATTGAAACCAATCACGAATCCTGAACACTTGCACCATGAAAGGGACATATTAGAACAGAGGTTACGTGGGAAGATATGACAGGAGTAACTTCTGTGGGAAGAGAATGCATAACCTGATTGCATGTTGCTCCCAGTATCAATCACCAGTTTGACCTGACTGTTACAGGTCACTGTCAAATAGGTGGAATACTATTGTTGAAAGACAAACAATCCAACCTTTAATGAGTTTTATAGAAACTTCAACCATTTGTGAGACCAAACAAGAAAGACCTGCATATCACTAGCCCTGGTATAGTGACTGAGTGAGTGAGTGGGTTTAGTTGTACGCCTTACTCAGCAATATTCCAGCTATATGACGGCGGTCTGTAAATAATCAAGTCTGGACCAGACAATCCAGTGATTAAGAGCATGAGCATCTATCTACATAATATTGGGATACAATGAAATGTGTCAACCAATTCAGCGAGCATGACCATCCGATCCCGTTTGTCGCCTCTTACAAGCATGGTTGCTGAAGTTCAATTCTAACCCAGATCTTTACAGGTCAGCCCAGGTATAAGTCACTGTCACGAGTTCATAATATCAACAACATGTCAAACAGCTGCTATATTGCTGTGTGCAGTGTTAAATAACAATCAAATACTAGTCTGGTTGTTTATATTGCAGAAACTTCAACCATATATGTGACCAGACAAGAAACACCTAACATACCACCTGCCCTGGCACAGACATATAGGTGTTCATCAGAGGAGGGCCGACTATGGCTGTGGGATGCAAGGTCATCTCTGTGTTTTATGTGGCACAATATATTTGTCAGTTGATATAGGAAACTGATGCATAAATGAAGTTCAGGTAACCAAGGTAACAGCTGAGTCAGCTAAATGCAACCCCAGGATGCTGTGGTATAATAAGCCTTGTGAGTTGTACATATTGTTATGTATAGAGAGACTGTTAAGCATAGTGACAATGTTGGAGCACCCCTTTCAGATGCAAATCACAGTGGGGAATCCTGGACAGAACCGGTTCAGTGTAACATGATTGTTGTAAGAGTTGTCCAACTTGGATGGGGAGGTCACGTGAAATTGCGGGTTGACTTTTTTGCTTAATGGAAAGATCTAAAAGTTTGAGAGTGGAAAGTAACCTGGTCTGTCTCTCCACAAATGTGTTCATGAACTTGTTTAATCCTTACCAAGTCTGATCAGATGCAGTATCTCACACGGCAGCCATGTTGAATGCTGTAATATGGGTAGTAGGGTTATCAGGCAATTCTAATGTCATGAAACACTGTTTGTACTTATCAACCAATAAATTCCTACTAATTTATTAAACACTGGGCTTGTGTTTGTCTTTTTTCACCTAAACAATGGAGTAAGGAGTTTTAAAAAGTCTGCATCAGCAATATTTCAGCCATAAAGTCGACATAAAACATGTCATTTTGTTATACGTATGTTCATAATAAGTGTAGTTAGTTCACTGTAAATAACATAACATTGATGATGAAACCCACAAACAAACATGCACCTGCATGTTATGTATTGATGTTGTGAGTGAGTGAGTGGTTTTACGCCGCCTTTCGCAATAGCAATATTCCAGCAATATCACGGCAGGGGAACACCAGAAATGGGCTTCACACATTGTATCCATGTGGGGAATCGAACCCAGGTCTTCAGCGTGATGAGCGAACGCTTTAACCACTAGGCTACCCTTCTGCCCCATTTGATGTTGTGGATACAAAACCTAATCCATAGGTTGAATAAATCACTCTGAAATTGAATAGTTCCCTTCGTAGGGGTGTTTACATGTTTAGCTAAAATTGCTCTTGAGAAATATATGGTTTGAACAAAACAGATGTCACAAGAATCATTAATGTGCACATAGAAGTCTGGTATTTTTCGATGGGGTAAGATTAAAATGCTTAATGACATCTCTTTCCTATTGACAAACACGGTATTGCTCATATAAGAATTGGTCCAGAAAGACATAGAACACTTTAACAACACAACAAAACACATTTCATTTAGTTACCTTTTTTTTATCAAACATGAACATGTGTAAAACAAAACCCATTAAATGGTCAACAAAACATCTGATTCAAAAATTTCTTCCAAAGGTTATCATCAGTGGATATCCAAAAACTTCCAGATCTAACATCATCTGACATTATGCATCAGAACAAAACTGATCTGTCCGATACCCGTGTGCATGTATGAGGGGGGTCAACTAGAGGAAAACACTGGCATTGCTCTTGGATGTATCTCATATTTAGCCGACACGCTGATATTCTGACCAATGTCAAGGTTGTTGTACATCCAGAACCACCGAAGCAGCCCCATGAGCTGGTGTTTGTGGGGATATCTGATTCACGATGATTTCACCGTCCGAGAGAGCATGGCTTGTTACATCCAGCAGCTGAATCGGCCCTGTAGAATACAGCAGGGATTTTAACACGGTGGTAGAAGATAAAGACTGTTCTGCTACAGGGTTGTCTCCCTTGTCAGAGTTGTTCCCCTTTGTATGTGCCAGTGAAGAGTTGTGTCTTGGCCTGTGGACGTTCCTCTGATGTTTAAGGAGATTTCCCTTGATTGCTGTCTTGTATGGGCAGTGTGGACACACGTGAGGCTTCGAGTCCTACGTACACACGAAGAAGCAAAGGTGACAACATGGCACAACAGGACAAAACTATACAGGCCACTTAAGACTGTTTTGATACAATTTTTGCATGTAGGATGATAAATTGATGATTACAAAATGACAAACAAAATCAGATGGTTCAACAGCAAGAACTTTTCCATTAGTGAGTACAAATACCTACCCATATGTGAGGGCACCTTCCCTGTGAGGGCACCTACCTGTGTAGCCTTACCTGTATGAGAGGACACCACCCTGTATGAGAGGACACCTACCCTGTTTGAGAGGACACCTACCCTGTTTAAAAGGACACCTTCCCTGTCTGAGAGGACACCTTACCCTGTATGAGAGGACACTACTCTGTATGAGAGGATCCTGTATGAGAGGACACCTACCCTGTTTGATAGGACACCTGCCCTGTTTGAGAGGACACCTACCCTGTTCGTGTATGAGAGGACACCTGCCCTGTTTGAGAGGAGACTACTCTGTATGAGAGGACACCTATCCTGTTTGAGAAGACACCTTCCCTGTATGAGAGGACACCTACCCTGTTTGAGAGGAGACTACTCTGTATGAGAGGACACCTACCCTGTTTGAGAGGAGACTACTCTGTATGAGAGGACACCTACCCTGTTTGAGAAGACACCTTCCCTGTATGAGAGGACATCTACCCTGTTTGAGAAGACACCTTCCCTGTATGAGAGGACACCTGCCCTGTTTGAGAGGAGACTACTCTGTATGAGAGGACACCTACCGTTTGAGAAGACACCTTCCCTGTTTGAGAGGACACCTACCCTGTTTGAGAGGAGACTACTCTGTATGAGAGGACACCTATCCTGTTTGAAAAGACACCTTCCCTGTATGAGAGGACACCTACCCTGTTTGAGAGAGGAGACTACTCTGTGAGAGGACACCTGCCCTGTTTGAGAAGACACCTTCCCTGTATGAGAGGACACCTACCCTGTTTGAGAAGGAGACTACTCTGTATGAGAGGACACCTACCCTGTTTGAGAAGACACCTTCCCTGTATGAGAGGACACCTATCCTGTTTGAGAGGAGACTACTCTGTATGAGAGGACACCTTCCCTGTTTGAGAGGACACCTACCCTATGTGTGCATCAGATTGGCACCTATGTGTGAGGACACCTTCCCTGTTTCAGAGGACATCTATCCAATAGATCAGAACCAGGGCTACAGATAAGGGCCGTATCGGAGTATATACGGGTATAAAATAAGCACGATACGGTAGGAAATAATTTAGAAAACGTAGCAGATACGCACCACAGTAATGGTGTATGGTCTTAGCATCATTTACAGACATATGTATCTGAAGAAAGATTGTTTCATTGTTTATTGACCTGTTTACACAAGAGTAGCAATGTTGTGGTGTATATATGAAACGGAACACAAGATTACTGTTTCTCTATTATATTCCATTCAGTACTCTAAATGTACTCTTATTGTTTTCCAGTACTCCCATATTGAAAAAATAAGGAGTACGTACTCCTGATCATGAAAAAATATCTTGAGCCCTGAGAACACTTACCATATGTGTATGCCTCAGATTTACGCCTACCTTATGAGTGAGGACACCTTCCCTGTATAAGAGGACACCTTCCCTGTTTGAGAGGACACCTTCTCTGTTTGAGAGGGCACTTTCTCTGTATGAGAGGACACCTTCCCTGTATAAGAGGACACCTTCTCTGTTTGAGAGGACACCTATAGATAGAACACCTGTATGTGTGAGGACACCTTCCCTGTATAAGAGGACACCTTCCTGTATAAGAGACACAAGAGGACACCTTCCCTGTATAAGAGGACACCTTCCCCTGTATAAGAGGACACCTTCTCTGTTTAAGAGGACACCTTCTGTTTGAGAGGGACACTTACCCTATAGATGAGAACACCAACCTATGTGTGAGGACACCTTCCCTGTATAAGAGGTCACCTTCCCTGTATAAGAGGACACCTTCTCTGTTTAAGAGGACACCTTCCCTGTTTGAGAGGACACCTTCTCTGTTTGAGAGGGCACTTTCTCTGTATAAGAGGACACCTTCTCTGTTTGAGAGGACACTTACCCTATAGATGAGAACACCTACCTATGTGTGAGGACACCTTCCCTGTATAAGAGGACACCTTCTCTGTTTGAGAGGACACTTACCCTATAGATGAGAACACCTACCCTATGTGTGAGGACACCTTCCCTGTATAAGAGGACACCTTCTCTGCTTGAGAGGACACTTACCCTATAGATGAGAACACCAACCTATGTGTGAGGACACCTTCCCTGTTTGAGAAAACACCTACCCTATGTGTATGCATCAGTTTGACGTGCTGAGCCAACCTGTTCTTCAGTCTGGTTGAGAAATCACATCCAGAGTAGGGACACTGCAAGGACTTCTCTGCAACCAAAACAAAGTCACAATCTGATAAACACGACCATTTTCATGAACTACCTGAAGCCACAGACCACCTACAGAGGCCGGATCCCCACTGTAGACCACTGTCATTATAATCAGATTGCCAAATCCAACGTGATACCCCTCTGGACGAAGATCTGATACACTCTCCATGCATCAGGTGAACCCTGCTCCATCTCGGCCTCGCCCACCTGTCTAAATGAAGATCTGATACACTCTCCATGCATCAGGTGAACCCTGCTCCATCTCGCCCACCTGTCTAAATGAAGATCTGATACACTCTCCATGCATCAGGTGAACCCTGCTCCATCTCGCCCACCCTGTCTAAATGAAGATCTGATACACTCTCCATGCATCAGGTGGACCCTGCTCCGTCTCGCCCACCCTGTCTAAATGAAGATCTGATACACTCTCCATGCATCAGGTGAACCCTGCTCCATCTCGCCCACCCTGTCTAAATGAAGATCTGATACACTCTCCATGCATCAGGTGAACCCTGCTCTATTTCACCCACCCTGTCTAAATGAAGATCTGATACACTCTCCATGCATCAGGTGAACCCTGCTCTATTTCACCCACCCTGTCTAAATGAAGATCTGATATACTCTCCATGCATCAGGTGAACCCTGCTCCATCTCGCCCACCTGTCTAAATGAAGATCTGATTCACTCTCCATGCATCAGGTGAACCCTGCTCTATTTCACCCACCCTGTCTAAATGAAGATCTGATACACTCTCCATGCATCAGGTGGACCCTGTTCCATCTCACCCACCCTGTCTAAATGAAGATCTGATACACTCTCCATGCATCAGGTGGACCCTGCTCCATCTCGCCCACCTGTCTAAATGAAGATCTGATACACTCTCCATGCATCAGGTGGACCCTGCTCTATTTCACCCACCCTGTCTAAATGAAGATCTGATACACTCTCCATGCATCAGGTGAACCCTGCTCCATCTCACCCACCCTGTCTAAATGAAGATCTGATACACTCTCCATGCATCAGGTGGACCCTGCTCCATCTCGCCCACCTGTCTAAATGAAGATCTGATACACTCTCCATGCATCAGGTGAACCCTGCTCCATCTCGCCCACCCTGTCTAAATGAAGATCTGATACACTCTCCATGCATCAGGTGGACCCTGCTCCATCTAGCCCACCTGTCTAAATGAAGATCTGATACACTCTCCATGCATCAGGTGAACCCTGCTCCATCTCGCCCACCCTGTCTAAATGAAGATCTGATACACTCTCCATGCATCAGGTGAACCCTGCTCCATCTCGCCCACCCTGTCTAAATGAAGATCTGATACACTCTCCATGCATCAGGTGAACCCTGCTCCATCTCGCCCACCCTGTCTAAATGAAGATCTGAAACACTCTCCATGCATCAGGTGAACCCTGCTCCATCTCGCCCACCTGTCTAAATGAAGAATGCATTGTCCCAGCTAGCCATAGTCCTGCTTCCAAAAGGATTAGTTAATTTCTTTACCAACTTGATTAAAAATTGATTATTTCTCTACTTTGAAGAAAACCAACACAAAACCCAAATATCTATTCTCATGTACTGATGGTCTTTGTTTCAGGTTCAAAGTTTCAAAGTTGTATCAGTTCTTATGGCCAACTTTAAATGTGTGTATTTATTTGTTAGTTTAATACAGCCCCGCAGAACCTAAAGTTTGTAGATCCTCATGGCAGCATGGCAATTATTTATATTTGAGAAAATGTGGTACACCCTTTTAGGAAAATATGGCATGGCACTCAGAAACAACCTGGTATATAAGAAAACAACATGTACTGATGCATTTGCTCTTTCTCTTTGGGCTGGCCCAACATACTACACAAGATTAACTTGAGTATTTTGAAGGAATACAAAATACAAAAAAGATACAAGAATAAGACATGCTGCTCTGATGAGCTGTTGTAAATGCTTTCCTTTCTTCCTACGAGAAATTAGAAGCCTCAAAGCTGATTGACTGATTAAGTAATTGTGAGTCAACATAGTTTTACGCCGCATTTAGCAATATTCCAGGCATATCATGGCGGAGGACACCAGAAATGGGCTTCACGCATTGTACCCATGTGGGGAATAAAACCTGGGTATTTGGCGAGACAAGCGAATGCTTCAACCACTAGGCTACTCCAACGCCCTGATTAGATAATGATATCCCATGGAGTGCTTGAGGCCTGCACATAACACATATAGGACTAACATCAAGTGAGACTGCCCAGCGGCCATGTTTCTTCTGACCTTTATGTACAATCCTGTGACTGCGTAGATTCCCAGCAGTGCTGAACTTCTTCTGACAGACGTCACAGGTGTACATCTGAATGCCTGGAAATAGAGATGTATGGAGTATGTACTAGGGGTGACTGACTGACTGAGTTTGATTTAACGCCGCTTTTAGCAATATTCCAGCAACATCACTGCTGGGGACACCAGAAATGGGCGGCCACACATTGTACCCATGTGGGATTCAACCCGGTCTCGGGCGTGACGAAATAACGCTTTAATCGGCTAGGCTACCCCGCTGTACTAGAAATTAGGGTGACTATTGAGGGGCAAACATCTATTGTGATAGCTTATTCTATTGCATCATACTACTGCGATATAGCGATTGTCTATTACGACCTAACTATTACAATACTATTGCAATAGTTTTTTCTCTCCATGAATTGTCTCATTTGAAGTCATTTCCCAAATGAATGTATAGTTTATATGAAATAAAAACAAGCTGAAGTAGTTTCAGTCTCTTTGATAACTCTTAAAACATAAACTCAATGAAGCTGCAAGTCTGCACCCAAACATCCTGTATTTTTCGTTTCTACCATCGATTGATTGCTATCAGAGACTCAATAATTGCAATCCATCGATAGATTGATGCATCGTTACAGCCCAAGTATGTACACACTTGACTTGCAAGGCCTCACATTACCTGGCGAAGTTGCATCACTGCCAACATCCCAAAACCAAAAGCCCTCATCAAAGTGGTGGCCATGTTTAAACATGGACTGGAATTCTAGGAGCAACCTTTTGGAGACTCTATTCCTTCAATCACATTAATATATATTTAGCTTAGTTTAGTTTATATATATTAAGCTTAGTTTAGTTTAACTATATATATTTAGCTTAGTTTAGTTTAACTATATATATTTAGCTTAGTTTAGTTTATATATATTAAGCTGAGTTTAGTTTAACTATATATATTTAGCTTAGTTTAGTTTAACTATATATATTTAGCTTAGTTTAGTTTATATATATTAAGCTGAGTTTAGTTTAACTATATATATTTAGCTTAGTTTAGTTGAACCCAACCTTTGTGAGTATTGACATGGCCAGTGAAGACTTGTTTCCTGAAGGTCTCAAACATGCAGTCAGCTTCAGGACATCGGTATCTGAGCATCGAAAACAAAAATAACCATCTCAACATTATCTATACAGAATATGGTTGGTAAGTGTCTCAAAAACTACAATTACTGTCATACCTGTGAAATAGTTTAGTGACATCATTCATGGTATACATAAGTGTTACAAGGGAACCATGGTTGTAGAGGTGCAACTTACATGGTGTACCCTGGAGGCAAGGGCATGGAATGTTTGGTGTACTTGTGCTGGACGAGGGTCACTCTGTCCAGGGTGGAGAATGGACACACAGATGGGGTACAACTTACATGGTGTATCCTGGTGGCAAGGGCGTGGAATGTTTGGTGTACTTGTGCTGGACGAGGGTCACTCTGTCCAGCGTGGAGAATGGACACACAGATGGGGTACAACTTACATGGTGTACCCTGGAGGCAAGGGCGTGGAATGTTTGGTGTACTTGTGCTGGACGAGGGTCACTCTGTCCAGGGTGGAGAATGGACACACAGATGGGGGTACAACTTACATGGTGTATCCTGGTGGCAAGGGCTGGAATGTTTGGTGTAATTTGTGCTGGACGAGGGTCACTCTGTCCAGGGTGGAGAATGGACACAGATGGGGTACAACAACTTACATGGTGTACCCTGGGTGGCAAGGGCGGGAATGTTTGGTGTACTTGTGCTGGACGAGGGTCACTCTGTCCAGGTGGAGAATGGACACACTGTGATAGGGGTACAACTTACATGGTGTACCCTGGAGGCAAGGGCGTGGAATGTCTGGTGTATTTGTGCTGGACGGGATCACTCTGTCCAGGGTGGAGAATGGACACACAGATGGGGCACAACTTACATGTAGAAGTGTACCCTGGTGGCAAGGGCGTCCTGGAATGTTTGGTGTACCCATGTGCTGGACGAGGGTCACTCTGTCCAGCGTGGAGAATGGATTACACAGATGGGGTACAACTTACATGGTGTACCCTGGTGGCAAGGGCGTGGAATGTTTGCGTGTACTTGTGCTGGACGAGGGTCACTCTGTCCAGTGTGGAGAATGGACACACAGATGGGGTACAACTTACATGGTGTACCCTGGTGGCAAGGGCGTGGAATGTTTGGTGTACTTGTGCTGGGACGAGGGTCAGTCTGTCCAGCAGGAGAATGGACAACACAGATGGGGTACAACTTACATGGTGTACCCTGGAGGCAAGGCGGCGGAATGTTTGGTGTACTTGTGCTGGATCCGAGGGTCAGTCTGTCCAGGGTGGAGAATGGACACACAGATGGGGGTACAACTTTACATGGTGTACCCTGGTGGCAAGGGCGCTGGAATGTTTGGTGTAATTTGTGCTGGATCTAGGGTCAGTCTGTCCAGGGTGCAGAATGGACACACAGATGGGGGGTACAACTTACATGGTGTACCCTGAGTGGCAAGGGCGTGGAATGTTTGGTGTACTTGTGCTGGACGAGGGTCACTCTGTCCAAAGCGTGGAGAATGGACACACAGATGGGGGAATTTACTTTTACATGGTGTACCCTGGTGGCAAGGGCTGGAATGTTTGGTGTACTTGTGCTGGACGAGGGTCAGTCTGTCCAGGTGGAGAATGGAACACCCACACAGATGGGGGTACAACTTACATGGTGTACCCTGGTGGCAAAGGAGGCGTGGAATGTTTGGTGTACTTGTGCTGGGCCGAGTCCACCTGTCCAGCGTGGAGAATGGATCACGACACACAGATGGGGGTACAACTTACATGGTGTACCCTGTGTGGCAAGGGTGGAATGTTTGGTGTAATTTGTGCTGGACGAGGGTCACTCTGTCCAGCGTGGAGAATGGACACACAGATGGGGTATTACAACTTACATGGTGTACCCTGGTGGCAAGGGGTGGAATGTTTGGTGTAACTTTTGTGCTGGACGAGGTCACTCTGTCCAGGGTGGAGAATGGACACACAGATGGGGGTACAACTTACATGGTGTACCCTGGTGGCAAAGGGGAAATGGAATGGAATGTGTACTTGTGCTGGATGAGAGGGTCACTCTGTCCAGGGTGGAGAATGGACACACAGATGGGGGTACAACTTACATGGTGTACCCTGGTGGCAAGAAGTGGAATGTTTGGTGTACTTGTGCTGGATTTGAGGGTCCTCTTGTCCAAGCGTGGAGAATGGACACACAGATGGGGTACAACTTACATGGTGTACCCTGGTGGCAAGGGGCGTGGAATGTTTGAGTTGTACTTGTGTAACTGGACGAGGGGGTCACTCTGTCCAGCGTGGAGAAATGGACACACAGATGGGGTACAACTTACATGGTGTATCCTGGTGGCAAGGGCGTTGAATGTTTGGTGTAACTTGTGCTGGATCGAGGGTCACTCTGTCCAGGGTGGGAGAATGGACATACATCACACAGATGGGGTACAACTTACATGGTGTATCCTGGTGGCAAGGGCGTTGAATGTTTGGTGTACTTGTGCTGGACCAGGGTCCTCTGTCCAGGGTGGAGAATGGACATACATCACACAGATGGGGGTGCAACTTACATGGTGTACCCTGGTGGCAAGGGCGTGGAATGTTTGAAATTGTACTTGTGCTGAACAGAGAGTCACTCTCTGTCCAGCCGCGTGGAGAATGGACACACAGATGGGGGTACAACTTACATGGGTGTACCCTGGTGGCAAGAGGCGTGGAATGTTTGAGGTACTACTTGTGTGCTGGAGCCGAGGTCACTCTGTCAAAGCGTGGAGAATGGACACACAGATGGGAATTACAACACATGAAAGTGTATCCTGGTGGCAAGGCGTGGAATGTTTGGTGTACTTGTGCTGGACAGGGGTCGCTCTGTCCAGCGTGGAGAATGGACACACAGATGGGGGTACAACTTACATGGTGTACCCTGGTGGCAAGAGGCGTGGAATGTTTGGTGTACCCACTTGTGCTGGACGAGGGTCACTCTGTCCAAGCGTGGAGAATGGACACACAGATGGGGGTACAACTTACATGGTGTATCCTGGTGGGCAAGGGCGTTGAATGTTTGAGGTGTACTTGTGCTGGGCCAGGGGTCACTCTGTCCAGGGTGGAGAATGGACATACATCACACACAGATGGGGTACAAGCTTACATGGTGTATCCTGGTGGCAAAGGAAGTTGAATGTTTGGTGTACTTGTGCTGGACTGAGGAGTCACTCTGTCCAAGCGTGGAGAAAATGGACACACAGATGGGGGGGTACAACTTACATGGTGTACCCTCAATTGGCTTAAAGGAAGTGGAATGTTTGGTGTACTTGTGCTGGGCCGAGGGTCACTCTGTCCAGCGTGTGGAGAATGGACACACAGATGGGGGTACAACTTACACATGGTGTATCCTGGTGGCAAAGGCGTTGAATGTTTGGTGTGCTTTGTGCTGGGCGAGGGTCACTCTGTCCAGGGTGGAGAATGGACATACATCACACAGATGGGGGTACAACTTACATGGTGTATCCTGGTGGCAAGAGGCGTTGAATGTTTGGTGTACTTTGTGTGCTGGACGAGGGTCACTCTGTCCAAGCGTGGAGAATGGACACACAGATGGGGGTACAACTTACATGGTGTATCCCCTGGTGGCAAGGCAAAGTGGAATGTTTGGTGTACTTGTGCTGGGACGAGGGTCACTCTGTCCAAGCGTGGAAGAATGGACATACATCACACAGATGGGGGTACAACTTACATGGGTGTATCCTGGTGGCAAAGGGCGTGGAATGTTTGGTGTACTTGTGCTGGGCCGAGGGTCACTCTGTCCAAGCGTGGAGAATGGACACACAGATGGGGGTACAACTTACATGGTGTATCCTGGTGGCAAGGGCGTGGAATGTTTGGTGTACTTGTGCTGGGACGAGGGTCACTCTGTCCAGTGTGGAGAATGGACATACAGATGGGGGTACAACTTACATGGTGTATCCTGGTGGCAAGGGCGATGGAATGTTTGGTGTACTTTGTGCTGGACGAGGTCACTCTGTCCAAGCGTGGAGAATGGACATACATCACACAGATGGGGGTACAACTTACATGGTGTATCCTGGTGGCAAGGGCGTGGAATGTTTGGTGTACTTGTGCTGGACCCGAGGTCACTCTGTCCAGCGTGGAGAATGGACACACAGATGGGGGTACAACTTACATGGTGTATCCTGGTGGCAAGGGCGTGGAATGTTTTGGTGTACTTGCATTGCTGGACGAGGGTCACTCTGTCCAGCGTGGAGAATGGACATACAGATGGGGTACAACTTACATGGTGTATCCTGGTGGCAAAGGCGTGGAATGTTTGGTGTACTTGTGCTGGACCGAGGGTCACTCTGTCCAGCGTGGAGAATGGACACACAGATGGGGGTACAACTTACATGGTGTATCCTGGTGGCAAGGGCGTGGAATGTTTGGTGTACTTTGTGCTGGACGAGGGTCCACTCTGTCCAAGGGTGGAGAATGGACATACATCACACAGATGGGGGTACAACTTACATGGTGTATCCTGGTGGCAAGGCGTGGAATGTTTGGTGTACTTGTGCTGGGCCGAGGGTCACTCTGTCCAGCGTGGAGAATGGACATACAGATGGGGGTACAACTTACATGGTGTACCCTGGTGGCAAGAAGTGGAATGTTTGGTGTACTTGTGCTGGACGAGGGTCACTCTGTCCAGGGTGGAGAATGGACATACATCACACAGATGGGGGTACAACTTACATGGTGTACCCTGGTGGCAAGGGCGTGGAATGTTTGGTGTACTTGTGCTGGGCCGAGGGTCACTCTGTCCAGCGTGGAGAATGGACACACAGATGGGGGTACAACTTACATGGTGTATCCTGGTGGCAAGGGCGTGGAATGTTTGGTGTACTTGTGCTGGACGAGGGTCACTCTGTCCAGGGTGGAGAATGGACACACAGATGGGGGTACAATTTACATGGTGTACCCTGGTGGCAAGAGGCGTGGAATGTTTGGTGTACTTGTGCTGGACGAGGGTCACTCTGTCCAGCGTGGAGAATGGACATACATCACACAGATGGGGGTACAACTTACATGGTGTACCCTGGTGGCAAGGGCGTGGAATGTTTGGTGTACTTGTGCTGGACGAGGGTCACTCTGTCCAGGGTGGAGAATGGACACACAGATGGGGGTACAACTTACATGGTGTATCCCTGGTGGCAAGGCGTGGAATGTTTGGTGTACTTGTGCTGGACGAGGGTCACTCTGTCCAGCGTGGAGAATGGACACACAGATGGGGTACAACACATGGTGTACCCTGGTGGCAAAGGCGTGGAATGTTTGGTGTACTTGTGCTGGGCCGAGGGTCACTCTGTCCAGCGTGGAGAATGGACACACAGATGGGGGTACAACTTACATGGTGTACCACCCTGGTGGCAAGGGCGTGGAATGTTTGGTGTACTTGTGCTGGACGAGGGTCACTCTGTCCAGGGTGGAGAATGGACATACATCACACAGATGGGGGTACAACTTACATGGTGTACCCTGGTGGCAAGGGCGTGGAATGTTTGGTGTACTTGTGCTGGACGAGGGTCACTCTGTCCAGCGTGGAGAATGGACACACAGATGGGGGTACAACTTACATGGTGTATCCTGGTGGCAAGGGCGTGGAATGTTTGGTGTACTTGTGCTGGACGAGGGTCACTCTGTCCAGCGTGGAGAATGGACACACAGATGGGGGTACAACTTACATGGTGTACCCTGGTGGCAAGGGCGTGGAATGTTTGGTGTACTTGTGCTGGACGAGGGTCACTCTGTCCAGGGTGGAGAATGGACATACATCACACAGATGGGGGTACAACTTACATGGTGTACCCTGGTGGCAAGGGCGTGGAATGTTTGGTGTACTTGTGCTGGACGAGGGTCACTCTGTCCAGGGTGGAGAATGGACACACAGATGGGGGTACAACTTACATGGTGTATCCTGGTGGCAAGGGCGTGGAATGTTTGGTGTACTTGTGCTGGGACGAGGGTCACTCTGTCCAGCGTGGAGAATGGACACACAGATGGGGGTACAACTTACATGGTGTACCCTGGTGGCAAGGGCGTGGAATGTTTGGTGTACTTGTGCTGGACGAGGGTCACTCTGTCCAGCGTGGAGAATGGACACACAGATGGGGGTACAACTTACATGGTGTACCCTGGTGGCAAGGGCGTGGAATGTTTGGTGTACTTGTGCTGGACGAGGGTCACTCTGTCCAGCGTGGAGAATGGACACACAGATGGGGGTACAACTTACATGGTGTACCCTGGAGGCAAGGGCGTGGAATGTTTGGTGTACTTGTGCTGGACGAGGGTCACTCTGTCCAGCGTGGAGAATGGACATACATCACACAGATGGGAATGAGACCTCCTGTGTTTCTCCTCAACATGCCTCTGGAAATAGCAACTGAACTTATCTCATCTTGTCTGGCCACACAACACATCAACTACATCAGACTTGGGAGCATGCACTACCTGGCACACCCACCAACAAGCCAGTACTTTAACCATTGAGTTACCCACTCTAAGAGGGTGTCTGGGTAGCCTAATGGTTTAAACATCCCCACTAAAGACCTGGTTCAATTCCCCACATGGGTACAAAGTGGGAATTCCATTTCTGGTGTCCCCGCCACGATATTGCTGGAATATCGCTAAAAGCAGCGTAAAAACATACTCACTCACCCACTGTGAAATCTTTGTCAGTTTGATATTATGTATAATGCAATTTATCATTCATTCAGTGCATGTTATTCTTCATTTCAAATCATTCATACACATCCATTAATCACAAGTCACAGAAAATGTCGGAAGAAATCTCAAAGATAGATTAATAAATTCCAAATACTTAATCTGACATTTTTCTTTTGAAAGGAAATAACTTTCCTGGAATTTCCATCCCCAAAAGTGGCATTGCTGATACTTCACAGGTTTGCATACACAATATTCGTCCATCACCTTTTAAGACCTATGACCAAAATGTTGTACAACTGTGACACTGAAATATGGCTGTGCATAACTCATGGATGTCAACTGAGCTTTGCTGTTTGTGTGGACACGACCATTGTCTAATATTGTAGAGAGGATAGTCCAAGAACGTGGGACATGTTGCAGGAGAAATAATACATTTTGTTTCCATTACTGGAACCAGGCCATACCTTAATTCATAGTGTTCCCCCTAGGCACATTCAGGAGGGTGCTGCACCCTGCCTTTAATTTTTGCGCCCTGCCCTTTTAAGCTCACTCCCAAATACTTGGCCAGAAAAAGAAGACAACTCTATATTGCTGTAGCTGTGTTTTGTGAAATTGTTAAAGAATGTGATAACAGATCAATGTCTTAAAATATGTTTTTTTTCAAATGATATAATCTTACATTAAGAAGAGAGAAGAGTAATAATGAACATGAGAATTAAAATTACAAGACTGTGTTTGACTTCATATATATTTTGTTATCTTGTAAACATTCCTCACCAAAATGCCCTTTTAGATTATGAAGTGCCTTTTTGTACGAAGTTACTCTGCCCTTTCTGAATCCTAGAGGGAACAGCAATTAAGTGATTACATCAGTACTGACTGTATGTAGTTACAAGTGATGGACTGACTGACTGAGTATGGTTTTACGCCCTTTTTAGCAATATTCCAGTAATATCATGGCGGGGGACACCAGAAATGGGCTTCACAAATTGTACCCATGTGGGGAATCGAACCCGGGCCTTCGGCGTGACAAGCGAATGCTTTAACCACTAGGCTACCCCACCGCCCCCACAAGTAATGGAGGAATGTGCTGTATACTGAGCCCATCAAGTATTGACGGTTGGGCCACCTCCCTCAATATTCCAGATTAAACCCTTATGTTTTGATAACTTGTTCCTCATCCCTTTCTTCACTGAATAAAATATGTTTAAATAAAAAAACCTGATGTTTTAAGAGCACAAAACATACCAACACAAGGTAGCAAAAACATTTTGGTTTGGTTTGGTTGTTGTTTCACGTCACTCTCAGCAGTATTCCAGCCATATGTTGGCGGTCTGTAAATAATCAAATCTGGACCAGATAATCCAGTGATCAACAGCATGATTATTGATCTACGTAACTGGGATACGATGACGTGTCAACCAAGTCAGCAGGCCTGAGAACCCGATCCCGTTAATCGCCTCTTGCAACAAGAATGGGTTACTGAAGACAAATTCTAATATGACGGAATCATGAATGTTCAGCAAACTTGACACACATTTGGGGAGGTTCATTACTAAATGGACATTTTGCAATAAAGTATAAGGCACAATGTTATTTTTGCACTTTGTCATGAAGAAAATGTATATTTGTTTGTTTATTTGTTGTTTAATGACGCATTCAGCAACATTCCAACTACATGGTGGCAGTCTGTAAATAATCAAGTCTGGACTAGACAATCCAGTGATTACCATCATGAGCATCAATCTACGTAATTGGGATACAATGACATGTGTCAACTAGTGTTGGGAATTGCTTGAAATCTCACAATTGATGATTGCTTCATTACCAACGAACAATCATCGAAAAAAATTGGTTAGCGTCATTTTTCAGATTTTCCTATCCAGGTTGTTATTGCAGATATGTATAACATGATGCAACTTGCTACTTTAAAGTGATGACTAATATATCATGAACATAAACTTCCCGGTGTCTTCAAGAAATATTCAGTCATGGCTTTTCAGTTAGTGAAGTGAGGTTTCTAAGAATTAAACACGTTTTCAGGCCCTGACAACTTCAACGATATGTTCCATTGTCAAGTATTTCAAAGACTAAAACAGTAGTCCAAAATCGTTTATGTCCGATTAGGACAAAATGTGATCGATTGCTTGGTCATTTGGTCACTGCGATCAATCTTCGATTATTTCAATTAATCGGAACACCACTAGTGTCAACACAAGTCAAAAAGCCTGACCATTTGATCCTGTCAGTCGCCTCTTGCGACAAGTATGTCGAGAATCATCCAAAGAGTATGACTAACATTAGGGGAAGGTCACCATATGAAGTACATCAGTGCATATAAGACCACTGATATTAGATGACCAGTCAAGCCAACTCACCTTCCTGGCACCATGCTGCGAGAAGACCTTGTCACAGAGGGGGCAATGGAACCTCCGTGCCCGAGTGTGTGTGTTTGTGTGTAGCGTCAAAGACCCCAGTAGCTTGAAGTCCTTGCCACACCACTCACACACATAGGGTCTCGTGCTGGAGTGAGACGTCGCACGATGAGACTCAAGACGGTGCACCTCCAGTGTCTCGTAGTCGCAGTCCTGACACATAATGATACAATAGTTTAGATATGGCTTACTCCTGATTTCATTAGAGTCTTTGATAATTGACAGTGGTAGTGATAATAGAGTAACCATGGCAACAGATAGTCTATACGAAATTTATCACAAAATACATTTCTCTCTTTTAGTATTTTTTTTCATGATGATTATATTTGTGAAATACGGCTAGCTAAATTTATTTTCAAAATGTAGACAGATGTCTTTGAATGGCTTTTACAAGGGACACATAAGAAAGGGAGAAATGTATTTACTTCTTTTATATGAGGAACATGTAGACTGGTTTGGAGAATATTCAATGCATTATTCTGCTTCCATAGTTGAGAATCTCAGGGAATAACACAAACACTTTAAACATGGTAAAAAGAGAGGGGATTATGGTGGTCGTTATTTCTACGTATACAAAACTGGACGCTTATTTCCGGAAAGTGGCACATTAGATAAAACAAAAACACCAGCATGGTGTAATAATAATAACTATCAAGACATCATAAAGTAAGAACAACACTAAAAATATCTGAATTCTAGGAGCTGATTGGATAATCTTTTAGCCTGTTAGTTTGAGCTGAATGCATCATTTCATGCTATGATCGTGAAGATGACACAGTTGATGAAAAGTCCTTTATGTCTTGTAAACTTTAAATCAAATCTCACCCACCCATTCTGATGATGCTTTCAGTGTTTCTGTAAACACCATGTCCATCTCACACACTCACTCACCCACTTACTTACCCACCCAACTCACTCACACGCTCACTCACTCATCCATCCACTCACCTGACACTTGAGCACCTGGAACTGGCTGGGGTCAAAGGCTACACTGTGTTTAGAGTATCTGTGACCAGCCACAAGCTTCAGACTCTTGAACTGGTGTCCACACTCTGGGCATCCATACCAGGTGTGTCGCCCCTTCTCCAAGACCTCACACTGTCCAACCCTGCTGTCTGGCTTACACCCAACACTGGAGGAACTTGAACACTTCACCTTTCCCTCCTTACCTTTGTGTTTGCTATTTCGAATTCTTTTACCTCTCTCCTCTTCCAAATCTGGACATTCATCGTTATCTATGCCAAGGCTCTTCCAAATTTTTGGAATCCTTTTTCCACTTCTTGATCTCAACCCACAGACAACACCTTCCTCTTCGACAATTCCAACTTTTCCTTTATCGCATCTGTGGGTATCAACCCTGGGAGCATCGTCAGTGACAATCCCACACTCATGATTCAAAGAATCTTCTACATCAGTGTTGTCCGCAATGTTCCTAATGGCGTCAACAGAGGTGCTGACAGTAACACCTGATGTAACCTGTCCTTCCTGACTGTCTGCCGATGTAGCGCCATCGGTGCCTGTTGGAACCAGACCCATGGCTGTCTTGTATGCCTCTTGTACAATATCAACATCACTGCAATCCAACTTTCCATCATCTGTCAACTTTATGTACACACTACTGCTTTCCATCTTCACACTATCATCAACTGATTTTTGTTCACTATCCACTTCAGATGTATTGCACATTTTTTGCTATTCCAAACTCTGTGGGTTTTTTCTGCTGAACATTAATTTGATGTAAATTAAATTCACTGTTATTTTCACTCATAGTGCCTGTAACGAACACACTTGGCATGCTCTGAACACTAACAGTTACATTTTCCTTGTCAATTATCTGGCATAAATTTGACGAAAGTGGACAACTCCTTTGTTGTCGGACTTATCCTAGTCACTTGTAAAGACTCATTAGATCTGTTATACCTGACATCTGAAATTGTCTGATCTTGTAAGGTTGCAGCAGGATCGTTCTTAGCAGTTTGAGAGTCTATAAGAACATACTCCTCTTTAACAGCATCACATTGAATGTTTGCATACATAGTAATGTTAGTCTGATCTGACGAATGATCAGTGGCATTCATCTCCTCCTCACTGATTACGTTCCAGTCTTTTAATATTTTCAGGTTGGTTGTATTTGTATCTTGTGGTAGTAGTTCACCAGTATAAATAACTTTCACAACCATCTCCAGTTCTCTTATTGCCAGGTCAGACAGCCACAAAATCCTTGAATTACGATTCCTTGAAATCTTTGCTTTGAAACTTTCACTGCCTGCTGCAAGAACTAAACTGTGAACTTTCATCTCACCATCTTTGGCTCTGAGGGTCATGTCACACATATACGACTCTTTATAGAATAAATACAGTGACCGCATTACGTTTCCTTGATAGTGTGAAAAGACTACCATTGTTTTAACATTTGGGGATCTGAAAAAAAATATTTAAAAACATGAGGGTAATCGAAAACATGATGCATAGTTTAAAAGTGCAAATTATCAGAGGCAAGTTATTTGTTAAACATTATCAAATTGATCATCTTATTACATCTGCTGTTCAAGTCCCTTCATGGTGATTCTATTTTGTATATACCATAAATCTTTATTTAAAATCCTCAGGCCCTCAGACTGTTCATCTCGCCCATTTAGATGACGACAATATCCTTCTTTAGACCTGCAGGACCTCTCATTTATTTGAGACAATACCTTGTTGTTATAAAATGCTCCATAAACAATTAATATAATCAAAAACGGAATCAATCAGAAGATGCATACCCGGTTGTACACTCTCTCCCAACTGACTTGCTGAAAGGTTAGGAAACTCTTTGTAAGTGTCAAAGAGAAATTATTCCTGCATACTATTTTTGTTCATGGGAATTATTCGTGTGGAACAGTTTCTAAGTAGGAGCTATTTTCCACGATGCATTTACATTCGTAATATTTATTCTGAACGGAACTAACCCAAGTGAAACTATCAGGGATTTACAGGACATGAATTCCTGCGTACTATACGCATAGAAATTCACAATGAACGCAACAAAATTTATTAGCATGTCACAGGGACTCAGAAACAGTCCAAATACTTTTGTAAATATTCCAAAATTGATAGACAATAGATTCCAATAGACAATAAGCTATCACTGAGTTGGTAAGAGTTCCGCCCGTAACTCCCGCTTGAAATGTATTCTATTTATTATGACCATTTCATGGGGTTAGTGGGGCGGTGGGGTAGCCCAGTGGTTAAAGCTTTGGCTCGTCACGCCGAAGACCCCGGGTTCAAATCCCCACATGGGTACAATTTGTGAAGCCCATTTCTGGTGTCCCCCGCCGTGATGTTGCTGGAATATTGCTAAAAGCGGCGTAAAACCAAACTCAGTCAGTCAGTCAGTCATGGGGTTAGGGTTTAGGTTTAGCGTTTAAATTTAGCATTATGTTAGGTTTAGGGTTAGGTAGGCTTTCTATAAATATACATCTATTCTTATTATAAATCTTAGGCATAGAATGCTATAAAAACGGGGGTTACGGGCGGAAATCTTTCCGCCGAATAATAGGATACAAATATACCACTTTGATAGCGTAATATATCATTTGAGATTATACATCAATTTTGAAGCAGGAAAGTGTGAAGTTATTTTCTAATTGCTGTTAAGTTCAACGTGACAGTACGGATAAAAAATATCCAGGTCGTCAGGTACTTGAAGTAAGTAACCAGAAAAAATGTTCATTCACCAAGGTATTAACTGTTCTTCGTATTACTGTGGCCAAAACTATTGCGCTCCAACGTTTTGAAATTTGTAGTTTATGTTCCAGCGCATGTGGTAGTTCGAATACTTCCGGGAGGCTTGGGCTGGGCGAATGTCTATACAACCATTTATAGCGCTATCATTCTTACGCATTGTACACAAAGAACTCATCCAACTAGCAGTATATTGGAGTTATGTCCCTTCTTCCAGTCTTCTCCACACGTTCAGCACTGAAGAGGACTTGAGACTGCTATTCAAAACTCCAACTTACTCGATGAAACGATTTTAGTGATTTGTTAATTCAAGACATATTTCATTCTTAACCTAACTCTGAAAAGCTGCGATTATAACAATAACGGCGACGACGATGATGATAATGAATTGATGATGATGATGATGATGGTGACGATGATGATGGTGATGATAAATAATTTGTTTTGATCAAAGTTTTTTTTTCAAGAATAACAAATAAGACAAAAAAGCATTTGTTTACTAATGTCACTTTAACCATAAAACAACAAGCTGGAATTGTTGCCGAGCAGCCGTTTATTGTAAATATAATAAAAAAAATAAATTTAAATTTAATAGAATGTGAAGCTTATCCGTTTTTCAAAACTAATGTTTACATTATTTACTCAATGCAAGGTATTTCAAAACCACGACCAAATCAGACATTTTTAAGAGTAGGAAACAATGACCAACATAGTGTTACACCGCCGGTTTGTTTAAGCTGATTTGTTCAAACGTGACGACGCCCCGTGTACGTGACATTCTGAAATGCAGAAACCCACAAACAAGTGTTGAGTGAAACATTCCTACCATCGATTAAAGGCGGAAACAGACAAGTGTCGTGTTGCTTTTCTAAACACGACAGCCTGGAAGAGACCTGTTTAATGATGCTGGTATGGCCTTTCATGTGGGAGAATATCCCAACGAAGTATGCAAATGTGATCTACTTCAAAGACAACATTTTCTTGATTAATTGGTTACTGTTTAACGTTAGTATGTAAGGAAGGGCAAAATGCAAAAGAATTTTAATAATAAGTGTCAGTTTCATCACGGCCCTCCCCAAATATGTTTATTATTTTAATTCCGATTATAATAGTAGCCTACATTGTAATTGTAACCTTGTAGATACAGTACAAACTAATGCAGTACAGAGGGTATGGGGTAGCTCAGTGGTTACAGGGTTCGAACCCAATTTCTGGTGTTCCCAGTCGCCATAGTGAACGAAGCTGAATAAAACCACATTTAGGGAACTATCTTATTAAATCTACAAGTCTGTGTCCAACATGTTTAACAAAGTATACAGAACGTCCACATTACAGTATATATGTATTGAATTAAAACTGACCTGACCCCCAGAACCTTCATTAACACAGTATACAGAACGTCCACATTACAGTATATATGTATTGAATTAAAATTGATCTGACCCCCAGAACCTTCATTAATAACGTTCATTGACGCCTACTTAGGGGCAGGGTAGCGGAGTGGTTAAAGCGTTGGCTCGTCACGCCGAAGGCCGGGTTCGATTCCCCACATGGGTACAATGTGTGAAGCCCATTTCTGGTGTCCCCGCCGTGATATTGCTGGAATATTGCTAAAAGCGGCGTTAAACCATACTCACTCACTCACTCATTGACGCCTCCGAACACCGTGTCACAATGAGTGTGCTTTGTAAGTGGGGTCCTATTCCATGGAACAATTTTACTATACCCATGTCAACATCATTGAGAGTCACTTGCATCATGGCTGCGTTCATCACGCCCCGACATGATGTGCATGGTTACGCTGAAGGTGTTTGTGGTGGTGGTGTGTGGTCCTGTGTATACAGCTCAGGTCACAAATCAGTTGAAGTTAAGCAACTTTGGGCGCGGGAGTCCTCGGATGGGTGACCGTGTTTGGCAGCTCGATTCCTGGGAGTTTCTAGGACTTCGGTCCTGCCACACAACGAAGCACATGTGATACATGTGGTCTCACCTTTGGCAAGTGAGTTTGTTCAAAATTGCCTCTGTTCATGTAGCAGAAGCTGGGTACCCTGTGGGATAAGTCATGTAACCATTAGCCTTCTAGCGCTTCACAGGCAGCTTCGGGTTATCCGGGGTAATAATAATCAGATTGTTTGGTCGCTTCGAGCATGCCTTGTGCATGGAGAAATGCGAATGATAAAAATAGACTATTATTATCATTATTATTAGTTCGCATAATTGAAACGTCAAGGGACAGTTTGTCACGTTTGTCCGTCGTCATTTGCAAACCTCTCATCAGTAAGCACAGGGCCAATGAAGCTGTAACGTCTGCTCCGGCCAATGATTGTACCCCGAATCCTACAATGGGTTCGATTCTGATTTTCAGTATGGCCGCCAAGACAGCCATATTGACCTATTCCTCTCTTATTCAGCTAATTCTGTTCAAATTGGGATACAAATTACTTAGTAGTGAGTCTGTTCATGTATGTTTCGTAAATTCTTGTCTGAAGTTTTCAGAAAATTCTGTAAGGTCTCCAAGACTTTGACATCTTTTCCTTTAAATGTACCCGTGAATATTTGGGTTATAATTGGTCTTCAGCAACCCATGCTTGTCGTAAGAGGCGACTAACGTGATCGGGTGGTCAGGCTCGCTGATTTGGTTGACACATGTCATCGTATCCCAATTGTGTAGATCGATGCTCATGCTGTTGATCACTGGATTGTCTGGTCTAGACTCGATTATTTACAGACCTCCGCTATATAGCTGGAATATTGATAAGTGCGGCGTAAAACTAAACTCAGTCACCCATTCTACTGAACAAAAACTTAATCTAATGAGTGACTCCTTTTGGAATAAGTGGTTTAGGCAAAACAAAATATATTATATTGAGCCAAAATATATTTTACTGTATGTATATATTGACATAAATGGACGAAAAACACGACAAATCGCATCCGACTTTCATTCCATTAAGGACGATGTTATATTATTCACGGGTATAGTAATGTTTAATGTATTTTCCAGATTCCCAGCTACAAATTTGAAAGCTGATTGCGCCATCTTCCGGACTGAGTCCGACTTAAGTCCGACAGACTGACCAAGCCTCGTCAGTTTGTCCAACACCGATGTCTGTCTAGGGGGAGTCCGAAACCCTTGTATACCTCCCGTGCTCACTATCACCAACACCACGAACAGAATCATCATAGACAAAACAAAGATGGCGCAGGAGCAAGGCAGACGACATTTGAAGCGCGCCATTGCCGTGTTGTATGTTTGTCAAATTGAAATCATTCTAAAGTAACGTTCGTCGTTAATTTTTGTATGAAAGAACTATCAGCTAGAGGTTCCAACCGGTGTCTTTTCGTCCCTCAATGTTCTGGAAATAACGTGAAATGTAAATGCCACGCTTTCGAGTTCTTTCCACCGCTTATATTCGGCGATAGATGTTGCTGAGCTGTCAGGTTTTCTACAAATCAAGGCTCTTCGATCCACGTCCTGCGTTGGTGTTCAGTGAAAGGCTTGACATTCCTCCTGTGAAATAACATCAATATATACAAATGTGTTACACACGTCAATATATATACAAGCACGTTTACAGGCCAAGCTATTCTGCTTATGGAAGTGTCTGGTGATTTATGCGCCTTTAACAATAATTCAGCCACACTGCGGAGGGAATTACAAATCTAGAAATCGTTTACAATATACCTTCAGAAATGTTGACAGTGAGTGAGTTGAGTTTTACGCCGCACTCAGCAATATTCCTGCTATATGGCAGAGGTCTGTAAATAATCGAGTCTGGACCAGGCAATCCAGTGATCAACAGCGTGAGCATCGACCTGCGCAATTGGAAACCGATGACATGTGTCAACCAAGCCAGCGAGCCTGACCACCCGATCCCGTTAGTCGCCTCTTACGACAAGCATGGCAAGTTACTGAAGGTTCATTCTAACCCGGACCTTAACGGGTAAGAAATGTTGACAGACGAACCGACTTTTAAAGGAGGTATGCATTAAAATATAAATTTTGATTAAATGATTTATCATGTTTATTGTGCATATTAAAACAAGCATCTGGAATGAAAACATACTATCGACAACAATAGTAACCCAAAAACCCGTTACAACCCTTCTCTTATTCCGAAATCTACTGAGAGTTAATGAGCAGGGTTGTCATCACGTGACCTGACGTCAACTTCCAGACGGACGCTGTTTCTGCGCAGTGTTTGGTACATCACTCGAGTTCATTACTTGGCTACTCAACCGTTGTGTTCCAGTAGTAAAAAGACAAATATAATATGACTTATGTGTAACTTTTATCTGCCATACGGTTGACAGTGTATTTGTCTGTACATTTTTAGTAAAATACGCTATCTTCCCTAAAATGGCTTACCCTTTCCTTGAATCCATAGTTATTTCCTAAACATCTTAAAGGTTTAATTCAACCAGTAAAACACCCTTTGTGACCTTACAGTCGAACATTGCCTTGAGATATAGTCGACAAAAGATCTTAAGATTTCCCTTTCATTTAATCGACAAAGAGTTTCAAATTTCCCCTTTTTAGGTTACCCTTGAAATGCCGCTCAAAGCCGAATTGTGAACATGTGTTGGTGCAATTTCCTCTGTAGAGTTGCGGCCCTTGGTCACGCAAGGAACCTATAAATGTGGGCTCGAATGAAGGTTCGTCCTGATTATGTTTCTAGGATTGACAGCACCATATCCGCACCCATGGGTTTCACCAAAGTGATAACGGCCAGCTATGACCTCCGTCACTTTGTGGCTTCCTCGTCCGTCCACCCGGAGAGTGGAAGGTCGCGGGTTCGATCCTGACCGCGTCATACCAAAAGACGTTAAAATATGGTACTTGTAGGTCCCTGCCTGGCGCTCGGAATTAATGGGTACAAAAAGGACTGGTCGGCTCGGAGTCAGTATAATGTGTCTGTTAGGGGTATTCCTGCTTAACTGTGGCATGGTATCACAGTGAGCTAGCACTATAAAACCAGCTTAAAGGTCACATGCAACGTAAAACACAACTTTGCAGATTCTGATACCTTTCGGTATGGACTTACAGATACAATTCATCAAATATGCATATTCAACTTATAAAGTTGAAAAATAACGCGATGAAAAAAACCCGCGAAATCGGAGTTCAAACGATTCACTAACTTCACCCCGGCGCTTGGGGTGAAAAGTGGTTTCAACAGCTGGGCTGCGCTGCGCTGGGCTGGGCTGCGCTCATAGCGCATGCGCAGTGAAATAGGTTCGCGCAGCTTGAAAGCGGGATGTCCGGATTATAAGGTCGTGAGCAGGAGTAGTCTAATCAAAACAAATAGTAAATAATCTACTCATTACATAAAAGAACCTTGTTAGGATCTAGATCTTCTCAGCTATGAGGCGTTCGACATTTCAAGATGGAAAACCTTCGCTGGCGGTGAATACTCGGTGAAGGCTTTGATGTGAGCTATTTTTCTAATGCTTTGATGATATTTCACAAGCGCGAGCCTTTTTATAGTTTATGACAGTAGATTACCAATTTAACTGTTTATATAATTTCATTTGTCTATTTCACCACACGTTCTTCTTACCGAGTCACTTTCTCAGTTCGATACTTAAAGCAATGTTATTATTTAGCATTGACAGAATTTCTGTGATATAGATATGTCGTTGTCACAGACAAAACTCAATGTCTGTTTTATTGACACCTATGTGTCTGCCTGCCTGTCTGCTAATGACAATGTTCAATACACAACTTCGATCACTGACCACATGCAATTTGAACTTAACACCTATCAAGCTATACACCATAAACGAAACGCATTGATTTATGGCCCGAGTTCGGTCTCTGTCAAATTATGTGACAGAGCGCACTTGAGCGCACACCCACCCGCTCTGACTGGGTTCGGTATCCCGGGTGCTTCGTTTCGAGGAATGTTTCGAGGGAAGTAAACCCATGTACAAAATATTGCAAATTTGATTTGCGACTTAATCAGTGAAACGCCTACACCAAACCGAGAATAATTGTGCACACAAACAACTATGGGCCTTTATCAGAAGCTGACATTTGGCTTATGGTGGCAGTGTGTATGTCAGGTGCTTGACATCACTGATATCAGGTGTCATATGTGGCGATAGAATTATCTACATACAGGTAGTGATTGAAACACGCCTGTATGTTAAGTAGAGACTATTCTGCTACATACATGTATATCACAAGGCGCACAAGGGACCACTCTAACATGGCAGGGCGGGAACGAGTAAAGGTTGTTATGTAATAAACAGTAAATCGGATCTTTCACTCTGATCCTTTAGTAAGTATTCACATACATAGCGGTCATTATCGTTCTCCATTCGGAACTACCCGTTGCCTTTCGGAACCGCTCCTATTGCTTCGTCTAGGATTGAAAAGGATCCACATTTATCAGAAAGTGTGTCTACCCTGATATCTTTGTGTGGTTTCGTCAGATCATGATGACTGACTGACTGACTGACTGAGTTTGGTTTTACGCCGCTTTTAGCAATATTCCAGCAACATCACGGCGGGGGACACCAGAAATGGGCTTCACACATTGTACGCATGTTGGGATTCGAACCCGGGTCTTCGGCGTGACGAGCCAACGCTTTAACCATTAGGCTACCACACCGCACCTCAGATCATGATGAAGAACAGCCAATCAGCCAATAAACAGTAAATCGATCTTTCACTCAGATCCTTTAGTATGTATTCACATACGTAGCGGTCATTATCGTTCTCCATTCGGAACTGGCCGTTGCCTTTCGGAACCGCTCCTATTGCTTTGTCTAGGATTGAAAAGGATCCACACTGATCAGAAAGTGTGCCTGCACTGACATCTTGCGTGGTGTTTCGTCAGATTATGACGAAGAACAGCCAATCAACAAACCGATTTTAGGAGAGGTTTCAACGATGTCGTTTTGCAGATATATAATAATAGTGGGTGTTTATAACTGCGCCTGTATCCGTGCATTCAATGCTCGCTCATGGCGCTACAAAATATATGTACAATGAATACATGAGATTACAAACAGTTGGAGTTAAAAAAAGGAAGAAAGGGTCTAAGGGAAAGCTATGGAGAAGTAATGAGTTTTTAGAAGGGACTTGAAAGAGTTCAGTGATTCGGCACATTTGACGTCAGCTGGCAGTGAATTCCAAAGCAATGCTGAAGTGTAGGCAAAGGTCCTCTGGCCATACGAGACAAGTCTGACTTTAGGGACTGTAAGTAGGTGATGATTCTGGGATCTTAGACATCTCGCAGGGGTGTACAGTGTAAGAAGTTCAGATAGATACTCTGGAGCTTGACTGTGGAAAAATTTATATACAAGGCACAGGGTTTTGAAGTTCTTACTGTACTTAACAGGGAGCCAATGTAGGGAAATGAGAGATGGAGTTATGTGATGTCCCTTAGATTTCAGACATACAATACGGGCAGCAGTGTTTTGAATTGTTTGGAGTTTCTGTACTTGCATAGACTTCAATCCAGCATGGAGGCTATTGCAATAGTCAAGTCTAGAAAGCACCGGAGATCTTACTAAGGCATGGACACTGTCTGTGGTGATGTATCGGCGGATTGAGCTAATGATACTGAGGTGGTGATGGCAGACTTTACGTAGATGGTTAATGTGGGCATCAAGTGAGAGATTCGAGTCGATGTACACACCAGGTCCTTGGCAACAGAGCAAGGTTGAATGCCAGAGGATGCCACCTTGACACCAGAGACTCCCTGCAGCTGCCTATGGCTACCGGCTATCAACTGTTCAATCTTACTGTCATTGAGCTGCAGTTTTCTAGATGTCATCTATCTCTTTATGTCGGACACACAGTCAACCACAATCTGAAGGTCTTCCAGAAGTGAGCTCCGTCTCAAGATGGTAGTGAGCTGAGTGTCATCTGCATATCCATAGTGGCTGCAACCGTGCTTGTTGATAACTGCTGGTAGCGAGTTCACACAAAGCAGGAAGAGAATCGGTCCTAGGACCGACCCTTGAGGAACCCCATAAGCTACCTCAAGTCTAGATGAAGTAACACCATTAACTCACACTTCTTGGCTCCGACCACTCAGATAAGACTGAAACCACCTCAAAGCAGTTCCTCTCACTCCAACTTGCAAATCCAGGATTTCTAATAGCTGTTCGTGTTCTACAGTGTCAAACGCTGCATTGAAATCAATCAACACAAGGGTTCCCGGAATCCAGAATATTTCTCAAGTCATTTACCAATCTCAGAAGAAGAGTTTCTGTGGAATGATGTGGACGATATGCCGACTGGAATCTGTTGAGTAGGTCATGGGATGAGAGATGTTCCATCAGCCTCTTTGCTACAGCCTTTTCAATGAGTTTCGATAGAAATGACAAATTCGACACAGGTCGATAGCTTTTCAGCTGTGAACTGTCCAATTTGTTGTTTTTAATCAGAGGCTTTATGATTGCATTTTTCAAAGATTGAGGAAATATGCCAGTTGAAATACTTCTGTTTATGATATCTGTGATGACCGGAAGTAGTATATATCGATGCCCCGATTA